CATTGGATAAGGGATGTTTCCATATTAGGAATCGATGATGTCTGTTGAAAGATAATCTGGAAACCGGATATATCGATCGTACACTAACGAGCTCATCGTGCATTGACTCAAGAGCGACTAATTCTTTTTGGTAAATTATACTGATTCAACGTTTTGAATTTAAGTTAGTCATATTGTGCAATTTTAATCGATTATATTAGATGATAATGTTTACAATTTCGACATATTCGAATTCCATTTGTGACAGTTTCTTAAAAAGTGAATAAGCAAAAACACGTGATTATTACTAAATAAAGTATTATATGGAGGTTGTACAATTCAGTCACTTCTGATCACAAACTAACATTGTTATGTTCGATATATCGACCAACAACCACAGACAACCTTTAAGTAACCAATACTCAACAAGGATGAGGATGATACTGCTCTATTTTTGAAGATTTTAGTCCAACAATAATTTGCGCCGGATGCAAAGGAAGAACACAAATCCAATGATCGACAGTCAAAAATCTTTACTATGTTTCAGACAATCATTCACAAAAATATAAAATCAGACCGCATCACATCACCATATGGAAAACAACAATCACGTGGTTGTGAACAGAAGAAAGTGTAAATAATACAAACAATAAATAGGAACAGTAAATTGTATGATCAGAATTTATCGGTTAAAGGCAAGCTTATGACAGGAGGAATGAATATTTCTGATAATCTAATTACTTGTTGATTATGTAACAACACTACATGCAGCAATAATCCATAAAATACTTTTTTAACTGACCATTAGTTTGATCTTCGTTCGGATATGAAAGACAACAAATGGTGAACTAGTGAAAATTCCAACCACATTTCGCAGATAACTACAAAGATGCGAATTATTCCGTTGCTCATATCTTTGTCAATTGTGAGTGGTTGTCTCAACATCGAGTATTTATCACAAACCCTCATACATTTGGATTTTGGGTGACAGCTGAATCTAGGACAAACTCCTTTATCCTATTCAGGACTCTAATGTTGATATTCACAGTCAGTCTCAAATCTAGTATTTACCGTTTCGCACCAGAAAGTTCCATCCATTTACAGCCTAGATGTGAACATAAACATAGAAATTCAGCGAAATCTAGTTAATGAGTCTGGAACAAGATAAGAATATGCCATAAAGTCCATCGACTGTGGCTGCAACCTAGACATGGTGGTGGTCGAGCTCACCTATTGTGATGACCCAACCGAGCTATATTAGCTGGAAAATATGTACCTTCTACCATGCCAAGTAGGTCGACTGGAGAACAGTGAGGCTAAAAGCAGTTACTGAAGGTCTGAGGGCGAAGTCGTACTGCTGACTGCAGAGGGGTGTGACAACAATTAGGCGTTTCCTTCGGACAACCAGCATCTACAGCAATGCTGCCTTCTCACAAAAAAGGAAGGGGTTAGAAAAGGTCGACCCTAAAAATGTTACACTTCACCTTAGATTAAGGATTTCCGTCTCCAACCGTAAGGCCTTTTAAACAAGAGCGGAGCTAACACTAGAAACATTTTTGAAACCATGAATCGATCAATGTTAGACCAACATGGTGACATGGTGATGTGAAATGAATGACGCTACACGGATCTTATATGCTCGTTTTGGAGACGCAGCATACATCAAGGGGCCGAGATTCTAAAATCGTAGCCAATGAATACTGCTGCTCTATATGACACAATGTCCGGACATTAAAAGCCACATGTAGTTTAGAGCAGGGTTTTAGGAGACCGATCATAAGGTTTTGTGAACTCGAATCCTTTTCATTAGCGGTTCAGGGTGATAAAGGAATGTGAGAAGGGTGAGTCGTGAAGATAAGAGAGATGTTATGAGGTGTGTGAAGGATTTGATTGGGGCTAATTTAGTCTCATGTGCTCTTACAGGTATGAGGGCGGATATCACTTCCCGGCTGCACGCACCGTGGAACGGTGTTTCTTGAGGAACCTGAAAAAGGCGGTAGATTAGTGTTGGTCATAGATACTTGGGAGCATGACAATAGTGTCCAACGGACAACTGCTTAAGGCCGGTCACGCACGGCCTTTGCATGACGTTTTTAGTGTTTGCATTACAGGGTTGTGAAGATTGTTAAGTGACACATTTTTGAAAACATGAATCGATCAATGTTAGACCACCATTAGAAACCTGGAAGCACTGGACGGCCGTTTCGTCCTGGTATGGGACTCCTAAGCAGTGCGCAGTCGCGACCGCTGCAGGGAGAGAGGTTGGCTCGACTGGCTTTAGCCTACCTGCGTTATTTATGGCGCAGGCGAGATATCCGTTTGATGACTACAGGACGAGTGTATTGTTCAGCAGTTCGCTCCATTTTACTTTATGGCTATGAAACATGGCAAGTCAGAGCAGAAGATATTCGTAGGTTGCTTGTTTTCAATTATAGGTCTTAGAAGCATTGCTCGTGTATCCTGCGACAACCGAGTAAGCTATGTTATCTTTGGGAAACGGGTTGTAGATAAGGATGGCAGATCAATAGATGAAGCATTGAAACTTCATCAGTTGAGGTGGTTGGGACATGTGTTACGAATGCCAAACCACCGACTGCCTCGTCGAGCTGTTTTGCGATGTAGTAATAGGTTGGTAGAAAGATAGGGGCAACCAGACCAAAGCATGGCAGAAATGCATGAAGTCACTAACAACTGGACTGAGTCATGTTGGTATGTGTCCACTACCTGTTTGGGGTCCACGAGATGACAGTAATCGATGGTTAGAGATCTTGAATGTCATCGCTCAGAACTGCTTGCAATGGCTCATATACAATTATCCTTCGTTTTCTCTTAAAAGCTAACTTTCTGAATTCCCCATCACCTTTATCTTTTCAGCATATTATAGTTCCTGAATAATAGATTCGAAGTCTAATTTTTTCAGATTGCTTCTACTACATCTACTACTATGGGATTTGAACTGAAAATTGCGTCTCTGTGCTAATATGATATGGCAACCTGAACTGATGTACGTACGTACGAAGTTCCACGCTGCAATTGACTGACTGATTGATGAAGTCCACTGCTAATTACAGTCCAAATATAACAAATTATGCATAAAATTTCAGTTTTTCTCTACATACAATACTGGTGACTCGCCATTACTACAAACTTGATTGATTTTTTTGTTATCATCTGAACTGCTCTTTCCGCTACTGGTTATCATTTTTTGTCTGTAAGCGAGTGAATGTACGCAATGTATATGTCTGTTTCAATTTTATTTATTTAAATCGTAACAATTTGCTTTCAAGACATCGTGATAACATGTTTTGTTTATACATCTGATTTATGAATATATAATATATATATATATATAATTATTAATGATTTAAATTTCTTCAAATCGTTACATTTATACAAATTAAGTAGATACGACGTATTTACGATGGAATTAAATTTTACATTTCATAAAGTTAACACATTGTTTGAGTGATCGCCGGAAAATTATTACTAAAGGGTGAAAGATAAAACAAACAATTGTGATTTGTGTATCGAAATGAATGCTTGACGTGAAGAGGTAAACTACGCACGGTCATTAGGTTTTGTTTGACGGAAGTAAAATAGGCGTCTGTTCAATTTTTTCTATTTAACAGATTGATAAAATCTGTGTGAATCAAATACGGGCGGTTGTTGGCCCATTGACTGAATTGCATATATATTCAATTAGAACGTATAATTTTACACACAAAGGTTGATCGCTTGTTATTGGCGGAAAAAAATTAGAATATTCTGATTATAAAATTCGTTTGAATCCCATCGTATTTTTCCATGAATGAATCATTCTCTCAATGATTAGATTGTTTAACAACACACCCTCATAATTAATATTAGCGTGAATTTACAAACTTTTTCAGGGTGAATACCTTAAATATTTAACCTTCTAGTAGATATTACTAAATAATAGTTTTTTTTAGTTCAGCTATGTACAATAATGTATGCATCAGGATTTAAAGTTTTGATTAAAACTGTTGGTTATACTCAAACTTAAGTCTTAACATCATTGAACGCTTTATTAAATGAAGTCTTGTATTCATTAAATAATTCGATCTCTTCATATATCAGGTAGCGTTTATCACTACTATGGAAACAGATAATTCACAATTGATAGTTTGAATCGTCGGATGAACATATAGATTATCGTTATTCATACTTTAGTTGTATAACTACTTAATATTCAGCAAATAAATTATTATGATATATATATATATATATTCTTTATATTAGAATCTTCCGAGTAATTCACTAACTACTGTTGTGTGATTCAATATTCTTAATCTATTGCTATTTAATCATTTACATCCCGACCTATTCACAGATACTTTCGACTCGCCCATCAATAAATATCTTTTCGCATTCTGTGGTCTGATGTGCTTCGCACATTAGCTATTTCTGCTTCAAACAACCAGTTTTATGGAAGCTGACTACAGACTTCTAGAATAAGAAAGAGAGCAGGAAGATATCTAGTTGTGGATTAATAAGGATTTCCAGCCGATTACAGATTACTGATGATTTGTATTTGTCACATGATATTTCTCGATGGTTGGGGTTAAACAGTTTCGTTCATCTGAATTTATTTAGTTGCGCTAAATTAAAACTTTGAAATTATTGAACTGAAGGCTATAATGTCCGACGACAAGAACAATACTATCTATTCGCTGAACTGAATCACATAGCAGATGATAAAGAACTTCTGTGATTTCACAACATGGCTCAGTAATTGTTTAGCATCATTTTTAGGTATAAACTACTATACCACTTCAACAACTTACGGTACTGAGCACTCGGCATGTCATGAGCTACTAAATTAAGTAAGAAAGAAAAGATCACGTTATCTGGTTTTTCATTGTTCTATTATGGCTACTACTTTTAAAAGACAACCTCGATAATATTTTCTCCATTCATGTTTCCGTAACAACATTAACTGTGATCAAACTGATTGTCATGGCTCTGTTTTCTCAGTTTAACAATTGCATATAACTATGAAAATATAAATGTTTCTAAACAATTTTTAACATCTGCAGGGCATATATAGAGTTATCCCATCCATCCCTTCTCTTTCTGTATTGGTGTGTGGATGATTAGCGAACAAGTGTTTTTGTGTGATTAACATCCGATCTGTTGGAGTTCCTGTTCGCTGTATCATTGTATTCGTTGAATACTCAGTCGTCCGTGAACAAAATTTATTGCAAGCTAACAGGAAACCAAGCAAGGTTTATAATACTGGGATGGTGGATTTGACATGAAAACAAGAAATCTTAGCCCATTAATGAAGAAGTGTTTTCACTCAACCACGTCTACCGGAAAAGAGAGAATAGATGAGCAAGACGGTAATAAAGTTCATTTCATTACTGAGAGAGGCGGTGATACAACACGAGATGCCACTGAAGAAATATAAGAACATTCAGTATACCAGCAAATAAACACACACAACAACTAGAAGATTCTAGCTTTATGAGTCAATGATAGAAAACAAATCATAGAATTAATCACAAAACTAAACTGACTAGTGTGTAATATTTACTTGTTTATTTATGATACATTAAGTGTTAAATGAACTCAATTGGAAATTTACCATACAGAAAGACAATGCCACCGAGTATTTGATGACGTTGACTACGATAGTGTAATGCAAAGCATAAAGTCGAAATTAACATACAGTAAGTAGTGTGGTACATTAAGATGAAACAAAATCGAATGTTGATTAGACATTATCAATCAATCAAACAATCAGTCATAAAATTATACAATTTACAACTAGAACTAACAAGTAGAATAAAGATGAAAAAGAATGAATAGGTATTTTATGATTTTTATTATTATTAGTATTATTATTATTAGTAGTAGTAGTATTATCATAACTAAATAATCACAAATGAATTAAATCAATACACATTGAAGTGTGTGTATAATTTTCAATTCTTAATTAATAAGTTAATTCGAAGAATGGGACACATATACTGTGCAAATGGGTTTTTCTCACCGATTTCTTTCAAATATATATATCGAGAGAGAGAGAGAGAAAGAAAGAGAGCGCAGAGAGGAAACAATTCGATGGACTCAATTAATAACAAACATAGTTTATTTGGTTGTTTAAATCACTTGTATAGCACAGAATAATACACAGTGCGCTGATTCAATTCAGCTAAGTAAAAGCATGGAAGCATTTGGATTTGAATGTTTCTTCAAATTTATATAGTTGTTCATGAATATAAATACGTACGTGTCAAGTTTTTGGTAACTGCAATAATATTTAATGAGTTGATGTATCAACTGTGAGAAAAAAAAGACGAAAGAATTGACGGATACAGATAAATATGTATGATTTTATGAGGAAACTAATAATTAATGGTTAAAATAGCAACAATAATGACATAATATTTAACGACAATAATAAACAACATTAAGTAAACTACAAAAGAGTATTACTTTTTGGTGCTAAAGTAATCTAATAAAAATTTTCCTTGAGTGGATGTATTTTACAAAAACAAAAATTATGAAGCAGCAACTTCATAGAGCATCCTTCAATAAGGTCAGATACAGAAGCGTAAACTCCGAAAGGGTATATAACTTCAATCAGGTTAAACACTAACAGAACAATTAAATAATGTCGGACAGATGTAAACATTACTTACATCTCCAAAGTTTTATAAAATGTTAATATATCTAAATATGAAGATTCAAATTGTGTGTACCATTCACTTCACGTCAATAATTTTTTACGATCATTTTAATGTGTGCAGCTACCCTCGTGTATTTCTTTTTTTTTTAAAGTTACAATTGTTTCTCTGCATCGAACTGTTCGACTTTAAATTCAAAAAGTAAGGATACTTGTTACTTTATACGTATTCTAATTCAAATCCTAGTAATAAATTGTAAAATGAACAGATGCTAACCTAATCTATATGCAGTCATAATCCACTTCAATCAATTAATTGTGATTTAGTTTAATATCTTTACATTTTCTGTCATTTGCAACTGCTCTTCATGCGCAACTAAATCATTTCAAAACGAACTGCCAGTTATGTTTAATTCTCACCATTTCGATGTTCACTCTTATGAAAGTAGCCTTTTATCAAAGCTTGGCATCATTGATATGTATCCTTTTGAAGTGTTTGCGTATTGAAATAAATCTATTAGCACTGGATCACAGGTTGAAGCCCTAATCTACACATATTGGCGGTTCAAACCGATAGAGAGTATCATCACCAATCTTCATGTAAGCAATATGACTGAAAGCCGGACACTAATACGTAGTAATTGAGTATATTTCGAGGCAAAGTAGGAAAAGGATCTGTTCAGGTTCTTAAGGTAAAATTCGCAAACAAAACAGTATATTTCCTATTCGTCATGAGATTCCCTATGCGAATATATTAGTGTATGTTGACTAATAACGCACTTCTATGCTCATAGGACAATGGATCTATAGCGAGATATCATTTTATGTAATTATGTGAATATACAGAATTTTTGTTTCTTCGGTGATGGATACATCTATTTTCCTCTAGTTGGATTTGTGTACTGATTTTCATGATGGACACGAAAAATATTAAAATCAGTATTGATGATAAGGAGCCCAGATCAGTTACTGATAAGATGAAGAACTATAGTAGTTTGTTTAAAGCAACATTAATTAGCTGAGACGGTTATAAATAAAACCGGATAAAATTAATGGATTGTCACTTACGAGGAACAGAAGACAATGAATCGGGTTTTGAAGCATTATGACCAGACCCATCCGACCATAAATAAACAGGAGAACCAGATTTCTGCATACCACTATGTATTAGAAATGAAAATAATAAGGCATATGCTTTATTTCAAGTAGTGAAACTAAGTGAAGTATACAAGACACCAAATATTTTGATGATTAATCGAGTTAAAAACTGACATTTATTGAGACGGTTCTTTGTTGCTAGTGGTCAATTATTGAAGACAGTTATAAACTGTGAATTTCAATATTGTACTAAATATTTTACATTGAATAGAGACACTATTAAATAATTCTATTACTGTATCAAGTTGAAGTAAAATGGATAATTACTGTTGTGCATTACTTCTTGCAATGCTCCGCTAATTGTATATTTGCCAAGACGATTGACAGCCCATGTCATATTGACTAACTCGTTTCTCCAAACTAACTACTACTAGAACGTCAAGAAAACAACAGACGTAATTCACACTACTGTGTAATTATCCTAACTTCAATACACATGTAGTTATATATACACAAAATACAAGACCATGAATGGTTTATAAATGGAAGTCTGCAGTATGCACAAAACTAGAGAATTTCAAAAAATAAATATTAATCACATGTTAAGAGTAATTTTTGAATGGATGACTTATGGTGACAGTAAATAAATCAAATGAAAGCTAACAATTAGTGCAATACTACGAATCAACGAATCAATTATTTAAATGAATACACATTAAAATGCGAGCTGATAAATATATGGGACAGTAGCTTCTGAAGTTATCCATTTCCACTTATTCACCAGTTTACAAAAATGAAGTAAAAATGTGTGATTTCGGTAATGATATTGATAAAAGTGAAATGAAGATGAGGATATTTTTGCCTCTGTGATAAAAGATATAAGTAAGAAAAACAGAGAGATTATCCTAAATAACTGATTTCTACAATCTATCCATTTTGACAGAGCCCATACCTTATACACAGGTATGTGATGATACAAATTGTTGCGTCAATTATTGTAGAGAGAAATTCTTGTGGTTACTGCGTGAAGTAATTTACATAAAAGATTAAAAGTTAAAAAGGTTTAAATCAAGTCTGCACAGTCTATGGATAGTGTTCTGAATAATAATAATAATAATAATAATAATAATAATAATAATAATAAATGTATGTTATTCATTTAAATCAATCTTAGTTTGTCCCTACCCATAAGTCTTCCTTGCAAGATTATTTTTTGTAGTAGCTGCCATTAGAAGGGAAACAGTTGGAGTATTCAGTTGGTGACATTATCTTAAGACATACCAATAAAAAAAGTGACTAGAAATTATTTGGCTTTGAGCCGAGTATATACAAATCTACTTGATGAGTTAAATTATACGAATATATATATATATATATATATATATATATATATATATATATATATATATATATATATATATATATATATATATATCGAGATATACAGGGGATAATAAATCTTAAGTGAAATGCTATTCCTTGTCATCGAGTGGCGTTCATCAACAACAGAGAGAGAGAGAGAGAGAGAAAAAAAAGAGCCATGCAAAGAGATAAAAAGACAATTATCACTAAAATTTATTATGCATAAATTAGTGTCACTCAATATAAAAAAGCTATAATTGTCATCTTACTTTGATCCATTAAAATGAGGTAGATCATGTTGATAATGCATAGATGTATTCCGCACAGAATGCATAACTAATGATAAAAAGTTTTTTAAAAAAAAAGTTAAATAACACTGTCATTCAAGAAAATCTATATTAGTATTCTTAGCTAATTTCAATCACAAAATATTCGGATAATTTGATGATCAGTAAGTGTAATGGAAAAAAATAATTTTAAAATACAGTACAATGAATATTGTTACCGATAAGAAGTGTTTAATGTAATTGTTTAGTTCGGATAAGCCTTCAATTAAATTCACACATAAATGTGCTGATAGTGTGTATTGTTCACCTGAATTGTTTTTATTCAACTAATTATAAAATGTAATCATGTAATAACAAGATGTATATTGAATCGTTTGAAACTTAATGAAGTAGGGATAAAACTTTAACGATATAATAGCGATAACAAAAACCATATTTAGCATACAGTGGCAATAAGATATTAATTGTGAGAGCTTTGATGATATCGAGTAAGACAGAATACTACATTAGTCACTTATCGATGATCAATCCAACTGTAAACACATGTCAGTCCTACAGGATATCAATTGGGGTCTAAATAGTTCAGTATTCACGTCTTTTACTGTGAAGCTAGTTAACGAAGGATCAAATCCGCTGGGGAGCACCAGTTAGTTAATGAATGCTAAATAACATAAAACCTATGTTCAGGATTTCCTTTCGATTATCGCCAACCACTACTTTACAGTGTTATAGAGCGTAATTACGTGACGATTAATATATAAGCCATATTCAACAATTCAAATATACAATATAGTGATAGGTGCCTACCTGAAGGACTATTATTTATATTTACAGAATCACCAGCATCTTGAATAAGTGTACTATTAACTGAATAGAAGCTAGACATAGTAGAATCGATTTGATCATTGTTTTTAGGCCAATCATCGTTTGTATTCTGATCATTTTGTATTTGAGAAGAATTACGTCTGACAAACAGAAATAATATGAAATCAATTTACAATGATAAAATCATAATGAATTGAGAAACGATAACAACAATAAACATATCACAATTGCAAAATTTCACTGACTGAAATAAATGTTCATTTAAAAGATCAGCTATTTACATTTTTCAACTCTATTTAGAATAGTGAATCAGTTAGTCATCAGCAATATATATGCATCGATTCGAGTCGTCACAATATTTTAACATGGCAAGATGGAATTATCAAAACTTTTAAAAATGCTGACAAGTTAAAAGCTTTGAAATCAATGCAAATTAGAAGTTAAAGTATGGATAATAAATTAAGGAATGTAAGAATGAGAGTGAAGACATGTTATTATTTCATCGTTGACCATTAAAGGTAGAATATATTGATATAGTGAGCCAATCAGAAGTGGTCCAATGAGAAGGCTATTTGATGACCATCAGAAAGTGTCCTAAAGGACAAGTATAAAACGTTGGCCAGGAAATGGCCTCCTTTTTTAGTGAAAACTATGGTGTATACCACTCGCAACGTGGCTTATAAGTAGCATGCAGCGGAGTGTCACCCAGACGTTACTAATGAAGAGAAGTATCGGAGCCGGGTTTGGGGCGCCATGAAAGTATTTGGAGACTAAAGCTAATGTAGGCGAAAACAGTCAATAATCTGACGGTAAAGAGTGAGCATTTTGAATCAATCACTTATTCCATCTGGTCTTAACGTTTCCGTTCACTGCAGGTGGAATAAATATATAAAAACGAGAATCCGTACATATTTTTCGATAGCCAAGCACACTTCCTCTCCTGCACTTGCCTTCTTGCTCAAGAAGCCGGTCTGAGGGGTTAACGCGTATCATGATCTGATCCTGGACGCCACACATCATAACACATTAAACCAATGTTATAATTTGCAGAGACCCAGTAACCACAAGCAAAAAATAGAGTACAGGGAAGTAGTGCCACAGATTAAAATGATCGTGAAAATTATGGAAGCAAACATATACTAGATTATTGATGTGGATTGAATGTTACACGCACTTTGAATCCATATATTTAAACATATGACTGTTTTGTAAAACACTGAAAATATAAGAAATATTCATATTAACACTACGTTAATAAATTGCTGTTCTGGTACTCTTGATTACTTATGTTTCTTCAGTTAATATATTAATGGGATTATTTGATTGTAATATTGAATTGCCTTTAATTGATGTGTACCCTTTCATGTGAACCTTATTGAAATAAACAAAAACACAGACGTGTAAAATGAATGCAGTCACTCGAATATTTCATCGAATACGGCTTTTTGACTGATATGTATCATGAAACCAGGGATTCACAATTCAAATATGTATTGCTTTTGTTAACAAAATGGTAACCTACCTCAAACCAGCCACAGCATCTTTAGCATGTGTAGACAAACGACCAGCGCCTAGCATAGATTGTAATAATGCAGATTTGAATAATGGTGTGCTATGACTGGCACTTGAATTATTCTTAATCATTGTCGAACGTAAGTTGTCCATCGCTTGTGTTTCATGTTGAAGAGATGCTGCTTCATTAGCATGGCTTAAGGGTGGGTTGTTAGCAGTGTTCACCTCTTCTCCATTGACAGTTGTAGTACTGGAAACGTGGTCTTCAAGAGTGTTATTTACATGATCTTTTAAATCGCCTTCGATAATTGTTTGGGAAAGTGAAGACTGATTAACAGATTCTTCAAGTGAAGACTGTATTCAAACAAACACGAAAACATAATGATTAGTTTCGTTAATCGAATATCACGTTTTAGCTGAATGAGTTGAACAGATAAAGTTAATGATAATGGTATATAAATTATTTATAGAAAATATCTAACAGAAAAATTAAAATTTCAACTGCAATGATAAAAAAAATACACTGAAAGATGTCACAATATTTAACACGTGAATTTTAAGACTTGTGAACTTGAATAAAGCTACAACATTGATTACTTTCATCAAAAAAAAACGTGAACAAGACCAGTGTGAAGGATTCAGTGTATAAAATTATGTAAAGGTTTTACTACTCAAATAATAATTGATTTCAGACAAACATATTGTGTTCAACACGTATGCATCAAGATACGGTGTTTGATATGTCTAACAATGGGTCTCAATAGATCTAGTTTATATATATATATATATATATATATATATATATTCATTTTTAAAGCTGCATAATGATTTGAATATACTAGACAGTATAATCTGAAACCATTAATCATCAAACTACAGTTCTTCATAGTTTAAAAAACACGTTGACAGTTAGAAACACAGATGTATTTCGTATTCAACTTTAGATTACTAAGATTTGTGATAAAAGTATTTGACCGATTGAATCACCGAATTCAAAGTTGAACCACTTCTAGGGGTTCGCAATTGACCACATTCTTAAGGAACAACATCTTATTTCATTAGTCAGTCAGTTGCAACGTAGAACTTCGTACGTATGTACATAAGAGCTCAAAGAGTGGATGCACCTGCGCCATCGCATTAGAGACACTACGTATGTCATCTTGCCAGACAAAATCAACACTAAGGATGTAAGGAGCATTTAAACTTAAGCTTTACAGATATGATTTCAGCTTAAAATGAGAACTACTCTCATATTCCTGTATACATAGTTATTAAGACCAAATTACACGATTTCACGTATGATCAAGTGTGTGTATTACCATTATTATTATTATTATTACATAACGGATAGTTGTTATGATGACTTTAACAGTTTTCAAGATCGCTTGGTAGTTGTACCTGCAAATTTTTCCTCAGACACTTATAATCGAATAACTAAACATAGAAACAAACAATAATGGAGTTAACCAGATTGTTAGTTTAAATACTAAATGATAAGTTATTTATAAATCAGTGATCTGTGAAGGTGAAAAAAGTAGTACACTTCTAACCAGCTAAAATATTTATGTTAATTGGCAAACATCAGTTGAGGATAACTCCCAAGTTACAAACTCCTGGTATCTTGGTTGAAAAGCAGTATTATAATGTTTGACTGATGCAAGACAAACTGTCAGAGACTTCAAATACTCCTTGCTGACAGATTTAAATATTCGGCTTTGAAACATATTATTTTTGTAATGTTTAGTAATATTAACCAGTTGTAGGTCGAAAGCCATATATTTTAATTATTAGGTCACTCTGTAAATGTACAAGAATGGATGGAAAAAATAGCAAAGTTTGAATTTAATGAAAGATAGCATTCAATCTGATGTTTTTGTAAACGACAGATCAAATTAATACTGAAAAGCATAAGGTGCTGTAAATGCAAAGTGTTTCCCACGCATGTTACACTAGCCCAATAAATAATTAGCTTGTGAGATCGCAAAAGTCATGTATATCCGTTTTAAAAATACGCTTACCGAATAATCATTCTCTCCTGCATCATCAACAGTGAAAATAACTGTACCATCAGTAACTTGATGAGTATCTGATACATTGATCTCCGTCTCAAGTACTTGAGCATCTGTGGCTGGTTCTTGATTAACAAATTTATCAGGTGAAACACAAGTAGTATCGGGTACTGAAGACAACTGATTGGTATCAGTGGACTGAAGATTTGTTGTAGATCCGGACTCACTAGTTGGTTCAGATGATAACTTCGCTGTACTGACTGGTTTTTTGACACGAGACATAATACTGTCCAACTTTTTCTTGCGTAAAACTCTTTCTTCTTCACTGCGTCGTAATTTTTCAAGACGCTCCGCTTCTTCTGCTTGAAGCTAAAATAATTATAGTACAAAGGAATGAGAATACTATTACACATTAAATTAACAACTATCGAAATAACATTGATTTCTAGAAAATCATAATTAAATAAATGCTTAGAAAATAATTTGTGTCATACTCAAGTACATTCTTAATGATAAAGTAAAATCATAAGAACTAAAAACTATCTTACTATCTCATAAAAACTAATAATTCATTAAAACTGCATAACCTTACGTTGAAGAAAGTCAATAAATTACAACTCTGAAATATAATACAGGTCAAATCAATCTACATATTCACTAGAGGACTGGAAATTCTCATCAGCATTTGAGATTGTTGAGTAAGAAATGCATACAACCGGATTTTCAGTTTGTTTCACTCATTTAAAATGAGATGCTACAGCCCAATCCTAGTAGAACTCGTGCTTAACACTCAGATTCAAATTGACGCTATATAGCAGTGTAATTCAAGTTAAATAGAGATTGGTTTTAATAATCATAGAATATGAAGTATTCGCACAAAGAATTTTTAATCTCTGACAATTCATAAGCAAATGATAGTATTAAAGAGAGATGATAATTACTCTAGCTGCTTCTTCCGCTTCTTTTGCACGTTCAGCTTCTTCAGCCTCACGAACAGCTTGCTCCTCTTTTAAACGAGCTTCTTCAGCTTCGGCAGCTAAACGAGCTTGTTCTTGTTGGATTCGTCTATTACGATTCTCTTCTTCCAATCGTCTAGAAATCAAACAAGTAGACTAAGAAACGATGGAAAACAAAAGCTTAAAGGTAAACTGTCTGGTTTCAATGAGTTGGTCTTTTGTTTAGCGAGTAAGTAATGTACAGACATAAAATCATTAGTCACATAAAAACCCTCAACAATACATTCGTATGCTATCTAAACTTGATTTAGTGAGTGCAATCTTTCCTTACAATTACTATTTTGTAGTTAATTTTATTATACGTGGAGGAACTGGGGTTTTCATGAATTGGAATAATCTACTTTCAACCAATAGATCACTGGTTCAAAGACACGTAATCTACACAAATCATAAGAGAAAGGAGTTACTATCGACCCGTTAATGATTCTTGTCACGTGATTTCGTACAAGAAAATCTGAATGATTACTCAGTTGATGACTTGAAAAAATTATTGAAGTAACATAAAAACTGAATGTTAGTATGTAGCGAATCGATGCAAGTTTTTTGATACGTTACCTACAGACCACTAACTTTCAGCATTTCGAAAATAAGTATTCTATATTATTGAATAACAGTATGGTACATATTTTTGTGACAGTCGATCATTCCACAGTCAGATAGTGTGTGGCACTTTGTGTGATATTCACTTGGAGTACATATCTAACTAATTTTGTCTGTAGCAAGCCATGATTATTAGATGGGTTACTTTAATCCGATCAGATAATTTGTGATCTTCCACTGAGGACTTCATTTTAAACACCTAAAGCTATCTTTATCCTCTCTGAACACGTTACTGTAGAGCATCCCAACTTGCCAGAATAAAAAATTCAAATTGAATGAAATCCTATAAACCCGTTTGCTCACTAAGTCACTCGCTCGCTTGCTCTTCTGCGCTAGCATATCATTTTCGCTTTGTGTGCCTGTGGTTTCACGATCTGTGTGTGGTTCGATAATAAACGCCTTCAAAGCTTCGTATTCGTCTTTTGATTTATACACCGTTGGACGCTAAGTAGTGACGGCTATCAGGGCGAGCAATATACAAAGTCAAAGGAATTATATCGAATACCGACCGCCACAGAATTTGTGAGGCCAAATCCACCACAGTGTGCCTTAAAAACAGCAAATGTAGTGTAGTTTAGGAAAGTAAACGGATACTACTACCTAAAGAAACGTTGAAAAAAGAGCCCATACACTAACACTACCTAAACAGGAACATTTTGAAAAGAATTGATTGTAGCTACGAGATGATATATATATATATATATATATATATATATATATATACTGAATGTACTCACCTTTGTTCTTCTTCCATTCGCTCTTTCGCTAAGCGACGTTGTTCAAACAGTTTTGCACGATAAAGTGCTGCTTCGTTTTCAGATAAAACGGCACCTTCACCTGACCCATGTGTTTCAGCTTTAATTGGACCTATTTGGGGAACAACGACCGGAGTTTCGTTCTTTATGGTATTGCCTTGAGATGATGTAGAGTTGTTGCAAGGCACTGATACAGTAGAGACATCTTCGACTACCTGAGTAATACTTTCTGACTCAGATGTAGATGAAGACTGAGGTAAAGGGGGAAGACTGGAAATGGCTGTTTCTGGATCCTTCAAAATGAATAAGATAACATAATTATTAAAAAACACTTAACGGAGAGATTAAAGGCATAACTGATTTTCTGAAAAAATTTAGACTACGATTTAACTCAATGAAGTATTTGTTGCGCGCTTCACCCGTTACTTTGCCGCCCTTGATTTGTCTGGTGGCCATACTTGTCGCTTCGATTGTTGGTGGGCCAACATTGGTTGGGAGGTCCGTGGATGCTACTTCTATGTTGGGTGAGTACACCAGTGGGGCTGGTTGGTTCGCGAGCTCCTTAAAGTGCCTACCCACCTGTTTCGCTGGTGGTAGAATAGTTCTATATACAAATGATTGATATATTTTAAAACACTAACGTAGAAAGCAATAAGAAGCACTTTTCAGGGATTGATTATAGAAACAATTAAACAGTAGCAAAGAATATGTTTTACATAAAAGGACAACATTGCGAAGAATAAAAAACAATTTTTAAACAACTCAAATACTAACCTGAATCCTAGCAGGGTAGGAGGGCGGTGAAAGGGGTTTTGAAGGAAGCAGAGGTTTCTTTTGATGGTGCTGATGAGGTGCATCACCAGAAACGGATTTAGACATCGCAGGTGGCATGACAGAGTTACCATTACGTTTAGATTCTCGAGTATTTTCTGAAAGGGTAATGAAAAAAAACAGAAGGCAAACCGTAAATAATTTATAGAATCATTTTTTTGTTTAGCTATTGGTTACAGTTTTTCCACCTGTAAGTATAGTGACAGAAGAGTAAAAGTGGTAGCAACTTATAAAAACACACGATGTCATATTTCTGGAAAGTAACTAAATACGGGCACATATTTTATGAGCGATCAGTCAATAAGCTCAATCAATCAATCAGTTATAACGTAGAACTTCGTACGTACGTACATCAGTTCAAGTTGCCATACCATTGTCAATTCAAATCCAATAGCGGTAGAGATAGTAGATGTATTAGCGGTAATGGAGAAGATTAGGGTTCGAAGAAATTATTCAAGAAGTATAATTCAGTGAAATAAATTTAGAAAGAGGTGATGAGGAAATCAGAAGATTAAAATTTGAGAGAACACAAAGAATAATTACGCCTATGCCACTGCAAACGGTTTTGAGTCACGTCGTTTAAGGTCTTCTAAGCATTGGTTACTATCGTCTCGCGGACATCAACCTCATTTGCATTAGCAGTGCGGGGTCATAAAGGAATGTGATGAGGGTGAGTCGTGGAGATAAGAGTGATGTTACGGAGTGCAGGAAGGATTTCATTGTGACCAATTTGGTCTCGTGTGCTGTAACGGGTATGAGGGGAAATGATACTTCCCGGCAGCCCACACCGTGGAAGAGTGTAAATTATTGACGTAGAGTGTGGGGTAAATATACACTAGCCCAAGTTGTCATAGTGCAATAGCCCTACGACATAAAATCGATAAGATTGGAAGCGAAATAAACAAGAATAATAAAATAGAAATAACAATGAAAAAGGCTAAGCATTAAGAATGGGGCTCGAAAAGATTTGGCAGAAAGGTACATCATAAAGATACACTGTGATTTGAGATTAGAAGGAAGACAAAAAGTGGACGCTTCTGCGCCGTTACGAACGATTTTCAACCGATCAATCAGATGTATCCTGATACCGATATCGTGTGGACCCTAACCAGGTAGTCTGTATCTATCAATATGGCTTTGACGGACAGTTGATTATATCATGGACTCATATTTACGTGTGCTTTAAATTGACTGTTAAAAATACCATTTAGAATAGCCACCAGTAACTGCAAATGTGGTCAGACTTGGTATTTACATAGAAAAGTAGTTCAAATGTACATGAGAGATAATTGGAAACCTACGTTCAGTTTAAATTTAACAGCCTATAAGTTTACAATGAGAGGAAGTAATGGGAATTAAATACTGTCATTGTTTAAATCATGAAGTGATCTTAGATAGGCCATAACTGAAAACATGGAAGCGCTGAATGGTCGTTTCGATTGACTTTGGAACTCCTCAGAAATGTGTATCCAGGTTAGGAGTTCGTACATGAGACCGAAGGTCAGGGGTTTAAGTCAAGGATGCGAGGTCGTGAATGCGCACTACTTAGGAGTCTCATACTAGGACGAAACATCTATCTAGTGATTTCAGGTCTTCAATGATGATCTGAGATCAGTTCACGATTCAAACTGCGAAAATTATTCACAAATCTCGTTATACTAAAAATAAATACTTCTTAGGCTAGCAACGCTGTCAACATTTTCTACAGGTACAAGCCAGAAAGCTAAAAGCGAAAGGATACATACGATGTAAGAGAATCAGACTGACATAGCCGCACCCATGTTTCTCTTTTAAGTCAGAATTTCTTCGAAAGAAACTGGGTTCATTTTTGCACGTTGTCCTTTTTCTATAGAACGTGATCATTAGACTTCAACTATTTCTTATCTCATTGTGAATGAGTTTGAATTATTTGGAGGTGTTAATTATATTTGGTTTTACATTGAATAGACCGATTTGCCGAAAATTATAACTCCTTAGTGCTAGTATTTCAATGGTTGTAGCTCCATAAAATGCTTAATGCCTTCTTAGTTGTAGTCATATTTCTCCATAAATAATTCAACTGTTATCTCATAGATAATATTCTTATCAACTTATTTAATCTTTCGTGCAGTTTAACATATTTATTCTGTACAATCTACACGTGTTCTCTATAACAGAAGTTTTAAGAAAAAAAAATTCACTAACTCATTGAAATCGATTATTATGTGGTTATGTGAGATTAGTAACGTGGTTCATTATAATGCTTCCATAAAAATCGTTATTTTATTTATGTAAAAAATTCATGTGTAAACGACTGCATTCATGTGGTAGAGAAAAACAAGAGAAAAGTATAAGATTTTATAACTTATTAATCATGTTTTATTCACAGTACATAAGAAGTATGTAACAATGGAATCATTGTTCAACTTATTTAGACAACTATTAATCTGAAAAAGTTAGTGAACTCCAAGACTGTTGCCGAAAAAAGTCAAATTCGTGATGTATACGGTGAAATTAAGGGGATGGATAAACATTTCGAAAAGTAATTAAACCGATAGTTTGTAATTTTCAGATGGACACTGACAATATGATTAAAGCTAAAGGAGTGAGGAACACCTTTCAGATGACTTTATGAAACTCTGTTGTTATTTAGTGGGTTGAAAACAAAACAATCAGAACTGATATAGTCTAAATAAAAAGAAACTATTTTAGAGTTAGAAAGACATATTTGTACACTTCAGATTCATATCAAGCACCTGTTTAGATGAAAGTTATTTCTTTGAGAATTAATATTAATTTTCGCAGTTTACATTATAGGCTAATCTTAGACAATTATGAAGTGATAGACAGTTGTATTGTCTTATTGTAACTACTTAGTAGTGTGTATCCACAATACCACCGTGGATCAAACCAAGAAACTTAAAGATTTAGCGGGGAGTGCTTAACTTTTACACCGCTGAGCCGAGAAATGTGATGATAAATGATTGGTCTTAACCAATTCGCCATGTTACGGGACCAATGTTATCAATAATTAAAGGTTTGCAAGTATCTAGTAGAATGTATGCTAATTCAATAAGTTAAATTAACAAATATGTAATTCAACTTTATCTTAATTGGTTATACTATGTTATTCACGTTATTTTGTTCGCTGAACTCGCTTTCACTGAAAGGCAACGATTTACAGCATGTAATGACTTTCTGAGATTCAGCAGCTCGAAACGTAAAGTCAGAAAATCCGATATGCTACTTAGAAAAAATGAAAACTTACCAGGTCTTTTTGCTGCATGTACAGTACTAGCAGACGTTGGGGCAGATCTTGCCTTATTTATCGTAACGTTTCCAGTAGTGACAGAACGAGACATTGCTAAACGTTCGAATACAGAAATATTTGACTGTTTGAGTCGTCTTTCAATAGAGTTGGAGCGTGTAGAGCTAGTGGAATCTGTAGGTGGTACCATATTTCCCAACTTAGCTATAACAAATGAGATAAAGTATTGGTATTGATAAATTTTTCCCGGTTTAGAAAAATTCACAAATAGAAAAATCACAGTCGATTATTTTAATTAGTAAGTTTATAGTCTTTGAAGGAAAAGGTGAAGCAATATATCAACTGAGCGTTTGACTAAAGAATTAACAGAGGTACGTTGATCAGTAATTATACAAACATCAAAATTACTGTTCTCCGAAGTGGTTGACTCAGTCAAATGTTATTTAGCTCAAACGTTCTTATATGACACATTATAAAACAGCTGTGAAATGTATACAACTAACTTCACAGCAAAAAGACTCATCACTTAACTGAATACTGTACTCTGGAGGATGTCAGCTGTCTTGTTTATTCATGCTCGTGAATTATATTCATCTAAGTAAAAACTAAACTAGGTTCCTTTTAGTTATGACAAAAATGTAAAAGCAAATCACACCAGAAACTTTTTGAAATGTACACTTAATCAAGTGAAACCACTAAGAATGTGAGACATTACTAAACAATAGAAAATAAGTAACTGTTTAGAAGTGAGACGCGAAATTCTCCATGGAATAATAAACCAGATATAAAGGAATTGGGTCATTGAACTAAGAAAATTAGGTGACTTATCAGTTCATATTTTGAATATCATTGCATAAGTCGTTTGTTGATAGTAACATCGAAATCTTCAAATATATCATAATTAGAATAATTTACTACTTAAATAAAAGAAAACCGACTGGCAATCAAATTCGGAAAATGTGAAGAAGAAGACCACTTTTCTATGAACCATTATCAATATCATGATTCATCTGTATGAAAATCGGCTAGAACATATCCCATTAAAAAGTTCAGAGATAACTGGACTCCGTAAGTAACCGATATCCATATCTAGTTTTACTAAAGAGGGTTTTTTATTGTTTAATTCAAGAAGTTATCTTAGAGAGAACATCACTAAAAACCTGGAAGCACTGAGCAGCTATTTCGTTTAAGTATGAGACTCGTTAGCATTACGCATCCATGGCCCCACCACAAGGGATCAAACTGTAGATGTTTGATCTCGTGTGCGAACGTTTAACCTCTGGGCGACCGAACCATCATTCGTCGATATAATGTCTAATTTCGACCAATTTGCAATATTGCGCAACTCTTTCCTATACTCTGCAGTGGATAATTGTTTTATTTTTGGTTAACTACCGAATGTATCAAAATAGGAATCTGTATATGAGTTAATGTACAAGATTCCAAATGCAACTGAGCAGATAGATTCAAAGCAAAGTTAGGAAACAACGAGAAAAACTTAGAACGTGTTTAAATGATACAAGAATACCAACTCTAACATATAATATTAAAAATAGAGCATAACCCAAGTAGTACAAAGTACTTTAAAGGATTCGCTTAATATGGATGATAAGGGATATTAATATGCTAAGTAACTTGGATAGTGGCTAATACTGGAGTCCAGAATGAAAATGTCCTATTTGGGACTCATTAGTCAAATATGTCAACACTTTTATTCTGATGCGACTAACGAGAATGAATTCCACTGATAACCACTTCCAAAAATACCATTCACATTTTAGTCCAAAGAATATCTAGAAAGAAGATTTTTTAGTTTACATGGATGGTTTTAGTGTTGATCTCTGAGCTGGGTGATTTAAGAATGAAGTTTTTATTATCTTTCTAAACATTATCAGCACAAACTACAAAAGTAGTAAGCTTTGAAAACGCGACTCCATCAAAGTGTCCAGGGATCTATTCAACGAAGTCGTGCTCCCACAAAAAAACCTGATCGATTCGGTCCTGAATATCAACAGAACAGAAGTTATAACTTTTACACATGGTAAAAGCACTTAACATGTGTTGAACAAAGATATGTTTGAATACCAGAGTATTATTTTGAAGAATGGTGTTGATAAGATGAAGGTTTTTTAGTAAATGAGAAAATTAAGAATCATAATAATATTACAAACAAGAAAGTCATATTTTACCTGTATCTTCTATCGTTTTTGAACTATTCGCAGGTGCAGTGAGACGCTTTGTTATTTTGGGATGATGATTAAGACGACCGATTTTATCACATTCGTTGGAGGAATTAGATCGAGTTGAAATTACTACAATTAGAAGTGAGAAATCATTTAGGAGCTGTTAGTATACATATTTACAATGATAAATAATAGCATGCAGTTAAAACACCTATGAAATTATTACCAAGATGAATGGAAAAAGCGACCAGATTGATGTGAGGAAATGAAGTAATGAAACTTGAGTTGAAATAAGCTACGGCAATGAAGACAATGAGTACACTGAGCAAAATGTATGTGAAAATGCAAAAAACACAAATGTCGTCTACATTTTACAATCCTGATCTGAATTGAAGTTTAAGTCAAGTATTATTGCATATCAATTACGACACGAGATAACCATGATCGAACATTGAGCACAGCCTCTTGATAAGTGACAAATAAGTTGTCGATACAGTTGAAGAATGATAAACTGCAAAACTCAACCTGAACGACTTATCACTTTAAAAAAAGTGATCAGCAACACCAAAAACTATGAAGAATACAAAACGGCTAATATCTATTCATCACTAAACTATCAATATGGATCACTTAGTCTTACATAACATTTACAACATATTATTAAGTTAAAAGCAAGACCTATCGAAAGATTTGAATAGATCTAAACCAAAAAAAAATGAATCAACTAAAAAGCGAACGGCAATACAACACACTAAACATAAATATGACACGGATATAGGAATTTTTCATGAACAAATATTAACACATGCAAGCAGATTGATATTTTACTAAAACATAAACCACCAACTAATAATCAGTACGATATATGACAGACATTGAAAATAAATATGAAAAACAATGTATAATACGTTCTAATTAATGAGTTTTAAATGAATTCAGTGAAAGCTAGAAACAAACAGATTCACTCGCACTTATATACATGTGGACGTATCAAAAAGCAAAACAAATTTAACCGAGTAAGGAGGTGCCGAAAGAAATATGCAGATATTTAAAAGGATATACATGGAGTTATGGCGTATTTAGTTTAGACGTTTTGCATTTCTATTCAATGGTTACTTAGTTAAAAGCTACCGATTTACGATAGTTCGTTCATAATATCCATGAATTAAAGTTTGAATTAGTTTCTTAGTTTCCTTTTTAGATATCTCAATAATATAATTGTTAACTGACAAACAACTTTTGTACAATAAATCATTGGAAGCAAACTATTATCCAAGTTCATTTATAAAATAACTCTATGGTAACACAATAACCTATATGTGGATTAGCTAACGCTATACTTTAATTTCCAAACATACTTATTGCATACTTGAAATATGAAGAAATACAGAAAATACTTGAGGAACAATTAAAGAAGAACAGTTGTTAGTTTTTCTTAAGAAATTGGTGAAAGCAATATTTACACTATGAGAGATCTAATGTAGACATAAAGATAATTGGGTGATCAATCGTGACTAGTGAGTAAAACTTAGACCGAATAACTTCAACTAAAATTATGACCTATTTCAACAAAGAGTAGTAAACTAATTATCTTAGAACGGGCTTTTTTAATGAATACTTTTAAAACACCACAAGTAGGATCCTTGTTAAATTGATGTACGTTAATTTTGTTTAAAAAAAAATACTCCTGTACAAAATATTTGAGTGTAAATTTAAATGCATCATTTCCGAGTTAAACAAACAACAGAAAATTAATCACCGTTTTACCGAAATGACGAGAATTATTTAATGACGAAATGATAAAGCAACACTTAAGACTATATTTGTGTAAATATCTATGTTTAAAGAGTAACATGCATATATAATTAGCTTGAGGAAAGCCCAATAAAAGTATGACAGAAGCTGCACCGCGAGAATGAAGGAAAGCTGAACATATATAGAAGCATTATGGTAGATGTGAGATTCAGCATGCATAAAAATGATAGGTTGTTTCAGAGAAAATGTTTTCATATGCGGGGGTAGCAGCCACGATGCAGACAAACCTTCACTGGTTTGATTACTTTCGACATTGTGCCCATCAGGAACTGTGATAGTGTTTGAGGCTTTCAAGTCTTTAGTGCTGACAAGTTGATCACATTTGAAAACGGTGCCGCAGTTAGTAAGAGAATTTTGTTGACGATGAGCATGAGAAACCTGAGTGAATGACGACTTAGTCTGATGCAAAACAGAGGCATGAGCTGAAGCAGCTCGTCTAGACCGCGTTACGTATCGATTACTGGGCCTCGATTTACATAAAGAGATTGGATGCCGAGGTCCATGTGGTGGGTCTATAAAGCACGAATAATAAGGTGTTGCAGCTGCTGTAAAAAAACACCCACTATGTCGACCAGTAAGATAGCTAGCTAATCGTGCTTCAAAAGCCTGTTTCAAACGTAAAGCTGCTGCACTTGGTTGCGTACATATAGAGCGCGGAGCGCTGCTTCCGAAGGCGACCACACACGAGGCTGTCATAAGAGCGCTCGGATTTCGTGAGTTTCCCAATGAAGGAGAAGCACTTGAAGTACGTCCAGAGTGATCATGTTCTGCAAGCTGGCGGCGAAACGTACTGTTTGCTGAACGATTAGTCGACCGTTCTCGAAGTCGCTCAATCCGTGCCTGAAAAGATGAAAACAAGAATGAGCTGACAGCAATACGAAAGATTACAAGAAAATTCGCATAAATTTTGAAAGATGTCAAAACGTATCAAAATATAAAACGAACCCTGAGTTTATTTAAAAAACTTATACAGAATCAAGGTTACAATTTCTGTTTGATGATTAAGTTTTAATCGAATAACTCTCATCTAACTTATATAAGCTGATGAAATTAAATCTAACTTGTTTTAAGCACAAAAAGTTATGGAATAGCTTATAAAAGAAAGATGACGATACAATCAATTCACTGAACACATACGAATACATAACTTTATTATAATGTTTCTGCCAGTTGAGTGGCATTTATTGGGGTCTCAGAAAATTTTGATGTATTTGGTGAACATGTTTAAGGTAAATGACAAATCAAACAGTTGAATAAAGTAGGGAAAGTCTAAAGGGAAATGGAGTTTATCAACAAACGCTTGTATGATAGTTTTAGAAATGCTCAATAGTTCGGGAAAGGCAAAAAGAATTACGAGTGCACCCAGAAGCTGAGTCAATACTTCGCTACCAAACTCAAGTTTTTACACTTTTTGGTTACAACTGTAATATATAAAACTATAAGTTTATGGTATTATATGACATCGCAGTGCAGTAAACTCGTTCTTCTTCACCAAGTAGGACTATGTCATCGGTATATTCTAAGTCAGTAAGCGAGCCACCTGGTAGAAGGTCTACTCCTGAAAATTCAGACGAGGATAATGTTATGTCTAGGAGCATGTCTATGATAAAATTAAACAAGAATGGAGAAAGTGGACATCCCTGACGGACACCACATGAAGCAAAAAATTCCTGTGACAGTTCGCCATAAGCTCTCACTCGACCAGTGGTGTTTGAGTAGAGAGCCTGTATGAGGTTAACGTACTTCTTTGGTACACCTTTCAATGACAGATACTGCCACAGAACCTCACGATCAACAGAGTCGAACTTTCTGGCAAAGTTTCCTAGCAAAGCAACATTTATTGACGGGAAAATAAACATGACTAGATATCACCGGTTATTGAAGGAAACATCAGTCTCTTTCTAAATTATTCCGATCAGTTAAAAATAATGCTTCCCCATTATACCAATTTCTTTATTAACTGGGACGGAGGATATCTAGAAAGAGAACCAGCCCTCTTCCCCAAAAGTACTTTAATAGACGCTAAACAATAAAAAGACGAGTTCTTAGCAAGTTGAATATTAGAAAATGCTTACTTGATTAGATAATTCCAAGGCTGTACGTCGTTCCTGTGCACTAAGTTGGCGTGTTTGTTCCTTTTGCCGCATTTCTTCGATTCTGCGCTTTCTTTCTTCTTGCTGACGCATACGCGCCATTTCGGCTTGCTGTTGGGCTTCTATGTAAGCAGCGTAGCGCTGCTGCTGTTTCAGTTGTTCGGCAGCTCTAACGCGCTTAAGTCGTTCTTCTATTGACAGTGAGGCGTTAGAACTTTGATTTGAAGGGGCGTGATTATGTTGGGAGCCATCAGTGCTACTTGGTCTGGTAAGATCTGTTTCAGTAAAATGAGGCGAAAAATTGCATGTATATTCGACAATACTATACTTTCATAACACAGTACTTAGCATAAATTTGTATCTATCTAGGCTGTCGCATTTCATATCTACGAAATAAAACCGCAAATAACTCAGAACTAAGCTACTGAACTCTTCAGCACACGGAAAAAACTCAAGGTGTTACAAAAGTATGGATATGGACAAGGGACAGTGTGGGCCTGAGATTGAAATAGAAATGGGAGGTAAATTCAGTTTACATAATGAAAGTCCTAGTGAACCAGTTCGTGTTTCAAGCGAATAAATTTTTTCGTTACGACTATATTCAACGTTGTTGCTCAGTGGTGTTCATTCATCTGGTAGTATTCCAAAGATTCCTTTGACAAAATTTCAAGTCTTATCTGCCTTTAGGGGTCAGTCAGTCAGTTGCAACGTAGAACTTCGTACGTATGTACATAAGTTCATGTTGCTATACCACATTAGCACAGAGACGCAAATGTCAAATCAAATCCCATAGTGATAGAGATAGTAGAGTTATTAATGGTAATGAGGTAATCGGTAACAGTAGTCAATCTACAGTACAATTATTTTTTGATTTACTGGGCAATATAGTGTTCTGAAACTGCGCTAGAAAAGCATTTGAGAACCTAAATAAAGTTTTGAAAGCCCTTTACAAGAGCACCATGTAGATTGAGGTTATACACCGACTTTCTTCCACTGTTTTGAACCAGAAGTTTAGATAGAGGTATAAGCCTAACTTTTTGACTTGACTATAGGCGGCAATTCGAGGGCAGCCCAGAAGGAATTTTGTGGCGATGCATATCTGTCGCTTCGAAATGGGAAGTAACACCACAAATCGACTGCAGTCTCTATCACTCGGTAAGTAACGCTTACGCCTGATTGATGTAGTTCAGGTCAACGAGCAGTACAAACCTGACTGATCAGTATGAATAACCTACCGATTACAGGTTTGGGTATTTGGGTATTTGAGCATTGGCGAAAATTAAATGAAGATTCAAGTGAAGAGCGTGGGGCAATATGCAACCTTAGTGGTAAAATGTTGGAAATATTTTAGTTGGTGTAGCTATATACTCGTGCAAAAAGACAGACTGACAGATACAACACAGAACGTCGTAGATAAGTACATCAGTTCAAGCTGCCATACCACATCAGCACAGAGACGTAACTGCTAGTTCAAATCCAAGAGTGATAGCGATAGTAGAATTATTAGCAGCAATCGAGGAGATTAGGCAACAAAGATATAATTAGAAAAGTATAATTCAGTGAGATAAATTTAGAACGATAAAGATAGAGATTATGAGGAATTCAGAAGATTAAAATTTCGGAGAACACCCGCGCCATTGCAAACGATTCTGAGCCATGTCGTTCAAGGTCTCTAACCATTGGTGACTTTCATCTCGCGGACCCCAACCAGATAGCCTACATCTACCAACATGACAGTCCACTTGCCAGTGACTTCATGGATTTCTGCCATGTTTTGGTCTGGCCGCGCCCATCTCTCTTCCAATCTACTCCTACACCACAAAACATAGCTCGTCGAGGCAGTCGGTGGTTGGCCATACGTAACACATGTCCCAACCACCTCAACTGATGAAGTTTCACTACTTCATCTATTGATTTGCCATCCTTACCTAGAACTCGTTTCCTAATAACAGCATCGCTTACTCGGTTGTCCCATGATACACGAGCAATGCTTCGGAGACATCGATGATCGAGGACTAGTCGCCTACGAACATCTTCTACTCTTAACGGCCATGTTTCGCATCCGTATAGGAGGACAGAGCGAACTGCTGCGCAGTACACTCGTCCTTTGGTTAGCGAACGGATATCATGCCTAGGCCATAAGTGACTCAGTTTGCCCAAAAGTCAATTGAGCCCTCTGTATCCGAGCTGAGATCTAGTCAGTCACCAGGCCATCAGCACTGATGAGACTCCCCAGATAAGTGAAGCGGTCTACACGCTCGACTACTTCACTCCCTATCACTAGTTCAGGTGCCGATGAAACCCAATCTTGAAGCAACATTTTGCATTTTGAGGGAGAAAACCGCATCCCGAACATGCTTGTATTGTTGCTTAGGGTGGTCAGAAGACTCTGCATTTCGTTAGCGTATTCACCAAGTAGGACTATGTCATCGGTATATTCTAAGTCAATAAGCGAGCCACCTGGTAGAAGGTCTACTCCTGAAAATTCAGACGAGGATAATGTTATATCTAGGAGCATGTCTATGATAAAATTAAACAAGAATGGAGAAAGTGGACATCCCTGACGGACACCACATGAAGCAAAAACTTCCGGTGGCAGTTCGCCATAAGCTCTCACTCGACCAGTGGTGTTTGAGTAGAGAGCCTGTATAAGGTTAACGTACTTCTTTGGTACACCTTTCAATGACAGACACTGACACAGAACCTCACGATCCACAGGGTCGAATGTCGCCTTTAGGTCCAGGAAGACAACTATTGTAGGACGCCTAAATGTGTCTGTGTTCCAGGACCTGTCGTAGTGTGGAAATGTGGTCTATACAACCACGTCCAGGTCGAAAACCAGCCTGGTTTTCTCTAGTCTGCACCCGTAACTCGTGCTAGGTGATGTATGCTGAGTTAACTTTTCCACAATTAGAGACCAATTTCAAGGTTTGTCACAGTTATAATACTGACCTGAACATCGAAAGTAAGGTGCACAACTATGTAGTGACAGTAACCATGCTTTACGGTGACGAACTCCTTAAAAATTTACAACCAAAACCCAATTAGACAAAAGTGAGGAGATTAAGGTGAAACGACTATTGTTTGATCTGATGCAGACAATTTTGGAAAGAACTAAACAATTCGATGTGAATTCAGAAAATTAGACTATTTGGCAACCATGAAAAGGTTAAATTAAAAGACCTTCTGCCTATTGTGTGACGTTGAGGCAAAATGCCTCATTATTTTCCTCAGCTGATGCAGAACAAGTTACATTCTGATGCGGCTATGGCTGAATTTACAACCAAATTTTTAGTCAATATCGTCTGCAAATTACTAGTCTTCCTTTACTTCCCGAGTCTTGTCTAATCAGGAATCGGTATCAGCTCTGCTGTAGTTTGCTTATCATGGACAGTGAGACTAGCATATGAGAATGAAATAAGTACTAATTATGCATACATATTTACACCCTTAATTTAGCTATTAAATGTTTTTTTGATAAAAGTTAAGCAGACACAATTCTCATCCAGATGAAGTAGAAAAAAAAGTGCTTCACTGTAGCTTTGAAGTAAGACTTGCGGGCAACCTAGAAAGCATTAAAATTTCAGACTCCAGCTGTTTTCAAGGCTTTTCTTAATTGCTCCAACACAATAAGGATGGATCTAGACAGTAAGCGCATGGTTCTTTTGATTAAGCGGCATCATAGTGTTTGAAAACAGTGCATATAAATCTGTCAGTTTAGTGGCCAATTTGTGAAACTGGGACTACCCCTATTGTGATGAAAAGCACACTGAGAATAAGACAAGTTATTTTTGTTATTATGAAGAAATTAATAAAAAATCAGTATGTATATGGGAGCAGCATATCTACAAGACTAGACAAATTCCTGAAAGGTGATTCTAGTCTTTTCACTGTTCATGAGATTCAAACTAGTCAAAAGACAGCCTGTATTACAGGGAAATTAATAGATAGTGACGAACCTGGATCTTGAGTTGCGCTTCCAGATCCCGTGCTGAGTGACCCATTAGGCAACTGCTCATCATCAGTGGGTTGGTTTTGAACCCCATTAAGCTCCATGATTCCCTATGGAAAGAATTCGGAAAGAATGGGCAGTCTTAAGTATCTACAGAAAAACCACTACAGACACTTATGACATTTCTCAATTAACTTACAACTACTTATCCTCAAACATCTGTAAAACCACTTTTCAAACACCGCCAGTAGGCTTTGACAATTATTATGGTAACAATCACAAGATTAAAGCAGAAAGATTTTTGGCTAGTTCAGAAGTTAAATTATAGTGAGTTTTCGTAGGAGATCCATGGTTGTGAATTTAGTACTGGACCTGGCGTAAGTCTTTCCAAACGTAGGTTGTAGGGTTTAATTGGCTTCTGAACTACCTTAACAACAAGAAGATCCAGAGGTATGTGCTATATGTTATTAAGCCAGGTCTAAAAGCCAATTGAAGCCCCGTATCTCTATGACATCGGGTCACATCTCTTGCTGTTTATTACCGTCCAATTAATGAATTTCAATTCTGAGAAGCCCCTCACATATGACTGTGATGATGCTTATAAGATGATGGTTTGAGGTAGTTAAAAATAAACCCTGTCCCTAGGTTTCGCCATTTTCACTCTCCAGCAAGGTATGCTCGTAATCTTGAGGAAACATGAAATACATGACAGTGATCAGTTAGTTGTATATACAGTCCAGTCGATGCCTGAATAGCTTATTGACAACATCTCGAAGTATAAAGATTGGTAACGTGAAGTCGAACATGCTAAGTGGAAACACTTTCCTGGGGAACACAGATACACTGTAGTGACAGGTAAAAATCAAAATATAACCTGATACAATTGCTTCTTGTCAACTCCCTCTAACCTGTATCTCATAATGTTCCATGCAATATCGAGTCATCTAAAACAGTGTCCACAGTACTATTTGATTGATGGAGTTTAATCAGCCTGAAAATTTACTTCATGTACATGGTTAGTATCAAAATGACAGTCAGCTATAAGCGATGTTATCTATGTCGCCTATATTGATGATTTCGACAAAATATCAGTTATAATACCCAAACTTGGGTAGTATTTTATGTGGCACGTGAAGCGGTATGATGTTACAAATGTTTTATTCTTGAAAACAAGTTTTCTGTACTTACTTACTTACGTCTGTTACCCCCAATGGAGTATAGACCGCCCAGCAGTTTTCTCCAACCAACTCTGTCCTGGGCTTCTCGCTCCAGTTCTGTTCAATGTTTGTTCATTCCTCTCATATCTTTCTCTATTTCTCGGCGTAATGTATTCTTTGGCCTTCCTCTTTTCCTTTTGCCTTGAGGGTTCTATGTGAGTGCTTGTCTCGTGACGCAGTCAAGTGCTTTTCGTAGTGTGTGTCCTATCCACTTCCACCGCTTCTTCCTGATTTCCTCATCCACTGCAATCTGGTTTGTTCTCTCCCAAAGTTCGTTGTTGCTGATGGTGTCTGGTCAACGAATACGAAGTATTTTGCGTAGACAACTGTTCATAAACACTTGTATCTTCTGGATGATGGCTTTGGTAGTTCTCCATGTTTCCGCTCCATACAGTAGAACTGTCTTCACATTTGTATTGAAAATCCTGATTTTGGTTTCGGTTGACAGTTGTTTGGAGTTCCAGATATTTTTCAACTGTAGAAATGCAGCCCTTGCTTTGCCAATCCGCGCCCTCACATCTGCATCAGATCCACCTTGGTTGTCGATAATGCTGCCCAGATATGTAAAGGTGTTGACGTCCTCCAAGGCATCTCCATCAAGAGTGATTTGGTTGGTGCATGTTGTGTTGCATCAGAGAATTTCGCTTTTTCCTTTATGTATGTTGAGACCTACAGCTGCAGAGGCTGCTGCTACACTGGTCGTCTTCTCTGCATTTGTTCTTGCGTGTGAGATAGGAGAGCCAAGTCATCTGAGAAGTCCAGATCGTCCAGCTGCGTCCTAACTGTCCAGTTGATACCGTGCTTCCCTCCAGATGTTGACGTTTTCATAATCCAGTCGATAACCGGGAGAAAGAGAAAGGGTGAGAGTAAGCAACCTTGCCTCACACCGGTCTTCACCTCGAAAGAGTCTGTTAGCTGTCCTCCGTGCTCGATTTTGTAGTTGAATCCATCATAAGAGTTCCGTATGATGTTAACTATTTTCTCAGGCACACAGTAGTGTCGAAGAAGACTCCACAGTGTTTTCCTATCCACGCTATCGAATGCTTTCTCGTAGTCGATGAAGTTGATGTAGAGTGGTGAAATCCATCCAATTGATTGTCCCACAATGATCCGTAATGTAGCAATTTGGTCAGTACATGATCGATCCTTACGAAATCCGGCCTGTTGGTCTCGAAGTCCTTCATTCTGTTTAACAATACCGTGTTGAAGACTTTGCCTGGTATTGAAAGAAGAGTGATGCCTCTGTAGTTCTCACACTTGCTGAGATCGCCTTTCTTTGGTATTTTGATGAGGTATCCTTCTTTCCAATCTGATGGTACTTGTTCCTCATCCCAAATCTTCTTGAAGAGAATGTGAAATATTTTCGCAGTTGCTTCTACATCTGCTTTCATTGCCTCTGATGGAATGTTGTCTGGTCCTGCTGCTTTGCCGTTCTTGGTTTGTCTGATGGCCATACTGATCTCCTCAATCGTAGGTGCGCCAATAATAATTGGGAGATCCGTGGATGCTGCTTCGACGTTGGGTGTGTTCAGTGGAGCTGGTCGATTCAGGAGTTCCTTAAAGTGCTCTACCCACCTATTTCGCTGTTGTTCAGTGTTGCTGATTATTTTCCCTTCCTTGCTTTTCACTGGTCGTTCTGGTTTACGATAGTTTCCGGCGAGCTTCTTTGTTGTTTCGTACAATTGTCTCAAGTTTCCGTCTCTTGCAGCCTTTTCCGCCGTCATTGCTAGATCTTCCACATATTTTCGTGTGTCAGCTTTGATGCTCTTCTTCACTTCCCTGTTTGCTTTTGTGTATGCAGCTTGTGCGGTAACTTTCTCTGCTCTTGTTTGGCTGACATTGATTGCTGCCTTCTTGTTAAGTTTTCTGTAAATTTTTTAATTTAGGACCCCAAAACCAATATATAGCTAGGAGTTTAATGCACAAACTGCTTCACCATCCTGAGAAGAATGCCAATAATTGTCAAGTTTTGCATACCTATTGTTACAAGACTCCCACGATTTCTGCTTCCGATGTATCTACAGCGGCACAGATGGGTGTTTGAAGGTAATAGTTTGCAAACATCACTGACTTAACATTACCATTCTTCATTGTGCTTAATTCATTCTTCCCACTGTTGTTAATTTTAATAATTGAAAACGTTTCTGGGGTTTAACGGATTCAGTTATATGATTCGGACATATAATTAAGTTTTTCCATCTAATGGCTCCTGTGTGCCTAGGTCAAGGAACAGATTCTCGTGTTCTGTGTTAATGAATGGCACTGACAAGCTTGGAGCAACATAAATCAACAGGAAAGGCTTGCATAATCTCACTTTCAGGTAAACGTACTTTTGCCGTTGAAGATTGAGTCTTAAATATGGTTGCTAGTGTTCTTAGGAAGAAGGATGACTACAGTAATGGTGTCGAAGAGATAGAAGACCCTCATCGCCACACTAGTGAAGTCTGAACAACAGCTGTAACTGCCATTTGAAGTTGTCGTTGAAGCCTGTGGGTAAGAATGTTTCCCAGAAAGCTATGCGCTTGAGTAGATTTGCAGTTCAGGGCACTGTATGATTCTTCGCACTTATAAGAAGACTTGCCATAAGCTCTGTTACGGTAATTCTGATTAGAACTGTCTGTTTCTCTCACCCTAGAATCAGATCTTTTGCGTGACTGGCTCCTCTGAGTAGTTCCGCATCGCCTGTGAAAATTAAAGAATGAGTGATAGTATTGTAGAGATCTGTGATTTCGTTTTAGATCGACCGAGGGTGTTTCTTGACAGCAAATACCTTGACGCTAAAGTATCTAGTGGTGGAGATAATGCGATCCGTAAATGTAGATATTTCATACTCGACTTTATTTTGGGAATGAAACAAGATCTGCTTGTATACGTTGAAGAAGCCCAGATAAAAAATCTTTTCGTTGACATATTTTCAACAAATTTTCGTTTGAAATTTCTGGTTTTGACTAGTGTCTCAACTCAATCTGCGGAATAATTGACTGAAATTTCGCTGATTAGTCAGGTTTTCATTTCAAGGGATTACCTCAGTCAGAGCTGTGGTAGTGAAAGATAGATTTGGAAACTAGCTGATGTGTTGATGTGTTTGGTCTGACTTAATGTGCAGCTACGAAAAATAAGTATTTATAATGTATTATTGCTTAATCTGTCGCTTCAGGCTACAACTTAGAGAAGAAAATCGATGACGGCAGCATTTATTTAACCGTTTATTGGATTTATTTATCACTTCATGTATTCTCGAGTCCGGTCTCTTTGAAAGTCAATACGGAGGCTTCTTCCCAGGATTTCAGATATCTCAAACATTGAACTAACTCGTACTTCAGAACTTGAAGGTGTACTACCAGCTGCACACGAATGAAGAAGAGTGAAACAGCTTAGGCTAACCCATCCGGTAGAAATTAACTGTAAAGCAGATGAGTATATTAGAATCTTTATGTATGCATTCGTGGGGGAAAATTGTTGGGGATGTTCAATCCCCAGAACTCGCTTGATATATATATTTTGGATTTATTTCATTAGCCGATCAGTTGACCTTGAAATCACATTTCCCACCAGAAAATCCCTTGGCTGTGATTGGTTACTGTGTGATTTTTGTGTCCTACGTTTGAGAAAGACACAAGGACGTCTCTATGGCGTAGACCTTCTACCAGGTGGCTCGCTTATTGACTTAGAATATACCGATGACATAGTCCTACTTGGTGAATACGCTAACGAAATGCAGAGTCTTCTGACCACCCTAAGCAACAATACAAGCATGTTCGGGATGCGGTTTTCGCCCTCAAAATGCAAAATGTTGCTTCAAGATTGGGTTTCATCGGCACCTGAACTAGTGATAGGGAGTGAAGTAGTCGAGCGTGTAGACCGCTTCACTTATCTGGGGAGTCTCGTCAGTGCTGATGGCCTGGTGACTGACTAGATCTCAGCTCGGATACAGAGGGCTCAATTGACTTTTGGGCAAACTGAGTCACTTATGGCCTAGGCATGATATCCGTTCGCTAACCAAAGGACGAGTGTACTGCGCAGCAGTTCGCTCTGTCCTCCTATACGGATGCGAAACATGGCCGTTAAGAGTAGAAGATGTTCGTAGGCTACTAGTCCTCGATCATCGATGTCTCCGAAGCATTGCTCGTGTATCATGGGACAACCGAGTAAGCGATGCTGTTATTAGGAAACGAGTTCTAGGTAAGGATGGCAAATCAATAGATGAAGTAGTGAAACTTCATCAGTTGAGGTGGTTGGGACATGTGTTACGTATGGCCAACCACCGACTGCCTCGACGAGCTATGTTTTGTGGTGTAGGAGTAGATTGGAAGAGAGATGGGCGCGGCCAGACCAAAACATGGCAGAAATCCATGAAGTCACTGGCAAGTGGACTGTCATGTTGGTAGATGTAGGCTATCTGGTTGGGGTCCGCGAGATGAAAGTCACCAATGGTTAGAGACCTTGAACGACATGGCTCAGAATCGTTTGCAATGGCGCGGGTGTTCTCCGAAATTTTAATCTTCTGAATTCCTCATAATCTCTATCTTTATCGTTCTAAATTTATCTCACTGAATTATACTTTTCTAATTATATCTTTGTTGCCTAATCTCCTCGATTGCTGCTAATAATTCTACTATCGCTATCACTCTTGGATTTGAACTAGCAGTTACGTCGCTGTGCTGATGTGGTATGGCAGCTTGAACTGATGTACTTATCTACGACGTTCTGTGTTGTATCTGTCTGTTTGTCTATAAATAAACGCAATTTGAGTATTTGCAATTATTGTATGCTGCCTGGATATTTGTAGAAAACACTTTCTACGTTATATCAAGATTTCTTTCTGGTTCAGTTTGGACAATCGGATCATTGTAGCCTTCATGTACTCTGGTTCATCTTTTTGTTCACTTTATTCGACTACGGTCAATTCATAATAGTTTGATCATACCTAGAGACGAGCATAACAATCTGGCGACGGCGTTTTTACAAACGATCTGTTTAATTAAGTTGGATGCAGCTAAGTAAGATAAATTGTTTGCAAAACAGCTGAAGTTGATGGAGATACATACTCAGACGCACACCTCTTCCTAAAACTCATCTACACCGACCAGTGATATTACAAAATTTCTTTATGATCCTGCCGCCATTATTACGTTTGATACTTGGTTCAGGCATTATGAAGATCTCTTCAAAACTGATTTTGCTGACAGAGATAATTGCTGGAAGGGTCGTCTTCTCCTTCGAAAACATGGTCCGTCAGAACTGGACAAGTTTTGCAACTTCATCCTACCGCAGAAACCACGTGACCCTTCATTCGATGCTACTGTTCAGTCCCTCAGCAGACTTTTTGGTGATCTGCATTCTCTTGTGAATACTCGTTACCGCTGTTCAAAACTGGTCATGAATGAGTCCGATAATTTCTTGACCATTGTTGGCATTGTCAACGGTGAGTGCGAAAGGTTCAAACTCAAATCTCTTACCGAAGACCGATTCAAATCCCTGATATTCATACGCAGTCTTCAATCATCCAAATTCTCCGACATCAGAACTCGGTCGCTTAACCGCCTAGGACAAGACCCAACACTGACACTTGATGCTATCAGTGATGAGTACCAACTCATCAGCAACTTAGATCATGAGAACACTTTGGTGAAATCTAGGGGCCGGGATGGTTCCGAAGTTCACGCTGTTCACCAACAGTTACTTAACCATAATAAAGGTGCTCATGCTACACCCAGTTCATCCCACTCTAGCTCAGTTCAAAAGTAGTAAACGAATCCTCCTACTCCCTGCTGGCATTGCAGCTCATGGCACTATGTACGAAACTGCCCATTTAGGTAACAGTTTTGCAGGAGGTGTGTAAGAGAAAGCCGAACTGACCCAGTAGTGCTAAGAAGTCTGTTTCTAGATCCGGTAACAAATCATTGAGTCTAGTATCTTCCTGACAAAGCTCATCACCGGGTGAGAAAAAATTTATTGCTCTTAATGTTAGCAGGCATATGTGAAGATTGCAAGTAGATACCGCATCTGATATCACTATCCGCTCAAGCAAAAATTGGACTGATTCGGGCAGCCCAAGCTTGCATCCCACAACACAGAAGCCTCGTACAGCATGTGGCAATCAGCTTCGTCTGTTAGGACAATCGGAATGTAAATTTACCTTCCGAGATCCGTCATTTACTGGTGTATGTTATATAATTCCAGCTGATCTAAAGTTACTTGTTTTAAATTTATTCGACCAGCTAGAATTGGCTGTCCCGTTAAATACCATATGCCACCAGGTATCACGACAACATTATCCCAAAGCATATACGAGGAATCAGATGATGCAGTTTTCAACCATTTTCCAACCTGGATTAGGTCGGTTCACTGCCATGAAAGCAACACTTCGGTTGAAACCTGGAGCTAAGCCTGTTTTTCATCCGAAGAGACCCGTGCCTCATGCAACATTACCAACAGTAGACGAAGAATTGAATCGCCTTCAACAACAAGGAGTTATTACAACCGTCTCTTAATCTGCTTGAGCAGCACCTATGGTTTCTTTTAAGAAGACCAACGGTACGATACGTATATGTGCTGACTTCTATACAGGTCTCAACGCAGCCCTGGAACAGCATCATTATCCTCTGCCAGTCTTAGCAGATCTGTTCACTGTGCTGAATGGATGAAAGTTTTTCGCAAAGCTGGATCTAGCGGATGCCTATTTGCAAGTGGAAGTAGATGAAGCATCAAAAGAACTGCTTGCTATCAATACACATCGCGGTTTCTTCCAGTACAACCGTCTGCCTTTTGGAGTTAGGACTGCTCCATCTACCTTCCAACAACTAATGGATACTATCCTATCAGATATCTCAGGGGTTGCAACTTATCTCGATGATATCTTAATTGTTGCGAAGACATTAGAACAGCTACGGGAACGCACGACATTGGTACTACAACGCATCAGTGACAACGGTTTCCGGTTACGCCCAGACAAATGCTGGTTTTTAATGAAGTCGGTAAAGTATTTGGGATTCATCTTTGATGCCGACGGTCGCAGACCGGATACCGAGAACATCCGAGCTATCAAACTGATGCCCACTACCACTAATGTTTCGGAATTATAATCTTTTCTCGGATTAATCAGTTATCATTCAGCGTTTGTCTCCTCGATGCATGATATTCGCGCTCCATTGAATTGTCTATTGCAGAAGAACAGCCCTTGGAATTGGACTAAAGAGTGTGACGTGGCTTTCGGTAAACTGAAGTCTATAACTAGCTCGGAAATGTTATTAACACACTACGATCCATCCATGCCAATCATCGTAGCAGCAGACGCTTCAGCATATGGTCTAGGTGCTGTCATTTCACATCAGTTTCCGGACGCTTCAGAAAAAGCCGTTATGCATGCATCCCGTACGGATTGGAGTCAACTGGCCGTTATTTATAGTTCTGTATATCCTGTTACTCAATCGAGCATTAGGGTTCATCGAAATCTGCAGCTATCATACCACCAGCCAAGAGATCAGTTGGTTATAATGTGAAAAATATCAAAGGGAAAAATCTAATACCAAAGAGAAAATTATGCTACTGAAAGAAGTAAATAACTCACTTGACATGTCTGATAGTGAAAGAGGACTGAACTGAAAGGAAAAAATGGCAACACAGATGATGGTAAGTATTGATCAATTAGTCAGTAATTTAAATCAGTAAAATCGGTGGCAAAAACTAGATTTCGAGACACACACTACTCAAAGCTGGTCCAAGTGTATGATAGTTTGCTTGTGAGTACATGTTTTTTAAGTCTTCTTTAGAATCATCCTATTGAGGTGACTATGTTCACTTTGAGTGGGACAGCATTCGAAGTAGGGATAACTCTTGATCAGAAAAAATGAATGGACCTAAGCTTCCTGAGTGTAATAATAGTAAAAGTTTAGCATAAAACAACTTAAGATTTTTGTCATTCACCAGTCTCCTTGATTAATGTTTATTAGTCTGTATTTTTTAGAAGAGGTCAGGAAACGAATTGTTATTCACGCCAGAAGTATCCTGATAGCGCAGCCGAATAGGAGAATTTTTGTGGTCTCGCGTTATAAAGTTATGTTTAGTAGTTGGTTTCCAGTTTGGTAAATTATTGAAACTCAGTTTTCGAATCACACAGCTTACGATACACCGAAGTGGAATCAACAGTGTTCGATTGGTCCTATCTGTATAGTTTATGAATTCTCTTCATCAGGTAGGATAGTAACTACAGTATAAACTTGTCTAATTAGTTAGAGACGAGGATTCGATCTCTGTAAGAGGGTGATGGTTGGACGATTAGAAAGTAAGCCCAACGAACGATCCGTATGTGGTAGCTATATAAATTTTCGATAGGCAAAGAATATTTCCTGAGGCAATGTGCAATAAATTAAGTTGGGCTATAAGACGCTTGGGATGTGCTGTATGCTTTGTAACAGACGACATTCTGCAGCTAACGATAATACAGATAAGCTTGGCATTATACAGGTTGAAAATCGATTAGAAACTATGGAGTTTATTACAGTAACACTAAATTCGACTCAGAACAGGGTTTGTAGTTCAAGTTGGAACAGATGAAAAGCTCTACTCTGATCTACAGAAAACGTTTACTATCTTTGTTTTTGCGGCTTTTGCGACAATGTACTTCAGATATGGTTTTTAAACTTCCGCGACAATATCTGGCAGTTGTACTGACTTCTTTTTATAGTTTCGAGGATAAAGATATGTATATTCAATATCGTCGGTGCAAATTAATAGTTTGGGCTGATATCCTGATGTATGGCAGGTGCTTTTAGAGAAAAGTAGTTTAGGCTTACCTAGGAATATCTTGGAGCGAAAAAGCTTTATTTGGTTGTTGAAGTTTTCACTATAGAGGTCGATGGAACAATAACCTTTAAAACTATGACAACATGAAAATTAACCTTATATATATATAAAGACGACAATTTATTTACATAATTCATACCCAGGTTTTGATACTATATTCTCTAGCATCTCTTTTATTAACTTAATTTTCACTCTGAGTGCGTTTACTGCTAATAATCACTGAATGTCCCGAAGTTTGTTTAAATACTTCAACTATTTAGTGCGTATCGATGCTCGCTTTCGTACTGGCGTTCCGATTCTCGTAATGGAAACAGATAGGAGTGACAGGTTGTTACAGGAAAAAGCAAAAAAGCAACTGGCAAAAGATCTGAGGCCGATTGAAAAGCTCAGATATCAATGTCTGTTACGTGGTGCATCTGGAATAGCTGGTATAGGAAGGTATAAAACTATTTATAATGGCTTTTTATTTCTCTTTTACTAACAGACAGTTCCGAATTATTGATGATGATGGAAACAAAAAACTGGATTATAAAGAGTTCTCGAAGGGATGTAGGGACTTTGGTGTGGACCTGTCCAAAGAAGAAATTAAAGAGATTTTCGATGAAATAGACACAGATCAGAGCGGATATATTGACTTCGACGAGTTCTTAGTGTCGTTAAGGGTAAGAAGTGTTTTAAATTAAGTTTCAAGCCTCCTATGAGCAAATGTAGAATTGATGTTCTGAACAAAGCATTTCTGAAAATGGATAAAACGAAAGACGGTGTTATAACTGTAGGTTTACTTTAATAACCATACCGCTCGTTATCTATATTAACTTCAGCTAAAATCTATGCGTTTGATCCAGCGAATAAATTATTTGATAGGTTTTTCGGGTGAATACGTAATATTATATAGACACCCGCACACAATGATACTGGAACATCAGATGTAAAACAAAGTCGTTGTAACTATTGACAGTGATAGTTAAATTGTCTACTCATCACGTATGAATGTAATCATGATTTTCATCATAGGCACTAACTGATGTTAAGGGTTAGAATCTAAAAATGGCTATCTGTTTATTAAGTGAAGTCATGCTAAGTTTAAACTTCTATTTCATTATTATATAAGTATCCTGATGTAAAAAGTCATAATTTTTTCCTTCATGCCTTTTGAAAAATGAAATTTTCCGAGGAATACATTATCAAGGCAGCTTGAATGAAGTGAACTATACACAGATGTTAACAGAAAGTATCATACAAAAAACCAGTAACCAAATAATCCTTATACCAAGTAAAAAGAGATAATCACATAAGCCTGCAACGTATTCAACCACTAATCGTCCACCTAAACACTACTGATTCTTGTTTTTCATTACAATTAAGGTTTCTATTTTTGTTTCACTACTGCTTGAAATAAACAAGCAAACCATATTTTAGAAGTCACGGCAATTTTAAACCAAATACGTTGGTTTTTATAGTGCCAGTAAATTATGAATAATTTGTAAACATATATAAATGCAGATAATTAGATGCTGTTTTAACAGGTAAATAAAACCTAACATGAACTTCAAACAATTATGAAACTGCTTCATTTTTATTGTATTAAGATGCACAGAAGTATGATAGCATAAATATGCGTAAAAGCAGCTTGGATGACTGGGCTCTATTAAGATGTAAAAACATGAGTTCCCATTAGACAACGTTTTTCCTTATAGAATATTTTGAATGGCAGTAGCCCCAGCGGCAAATAAATGCTTTCTCTGTTCTTCATGTTTTTTGTCAAACGGTTCTATCTTAGAGGAAAAGTCAGTTGTTTCTATCTATTGCAATTTATCTTAATAACATAATCGGCTTGTAATGAAATCTAGTCAGAATATCTTAAGTTAACTGAATGCTAGGTGTGAACGTACCAAATGGTGTGCTCCAAACTTTAGTTCTACAAATTATTTATTCTTTATACTGCTTAATTTCTATCAATGTTTAATTCAGAAAACTTCAAAAGTGTAGTCTTTAATCACAAAAGGAGTACTTGGATGCAAGTTGATCAATTTTGTAGAATCAAAAAGCCTTGTAAATTGTCAGATTTCTATGCTCTAAGCATATTGGGAACTTCAGGGACAGTTTAAATATCAAAATATATCAAATGTAAAAGCTGTTAAACACTGATGGAAATCACCAAGGGTTGTACTTTATTGAGTTTGTTCCAGTTTTTTTTCAGTGCACTCATTCTTTATTTATCATTATGAATAAACATTATTTCTACTGACACTGACTGTTATTGTGTTACTACTCAGTGCAATGATCGAACAAATCACCTCAATTTTTAATTGCTCACTTCAGATTGAAGATTTAAAAGGTGTATACAACGTGAAAAACCATCCAAAATATATTAATGGTGAAAAAACTGAAGATGAGATTTTAGTTGAATTTTTAAAAACATTTCAACCTCAAAGCAATGCTGATGAAACTGTAAGCAAAGTTAGATACATAACTTTATTCTTCTACATATATGGTTGTCATGAACAATTAGTTTTTTTTTTAATTTCTACGTTATTTTTCTCCAACTGCTTTGGGAATAAAATTGATTAATATTTTTTGTCAGCAATATTCTCACTGTTTCTAGTTTTATGGATTATAATCGCGATAATTTCCGATGCTCTAACTTAATATTGACTGATATAATATATTTAGTTAGAAAAAATGCATGATTTTAGTTAAAAATTGTAAGTTTACTCAGAAACAAAACGTCAGCAGTATAATGTGACAAGTTATTTGGTGAGATTTATTTCGTTATAAACATAAAAATAAAATGCTTGCTATAGATTTTAAGCATTTTAAATTTTCCCCTCTTAGTGCCACAATTTTCATTATAAACTTAAGCATGACACTATTAACTTCCAGATCACGACATGTGATCTTATTATTTTAGCTATTTCGTCAAAATATTCCCTTTAAAATCATAATTGCAAACTTATCAAGCAAATAAATTTATGCCAAAGAAATCTGAAATTCATAATATCTCTAACTATATAGGCTATAAAAGTAGATATTTTATGAAAAATCAATTAGTTAAAGAAAAAAACTAATAATAATTCTGAAAATTTATTGGATATCAAAAAGAAGATAGTTTTTTTCTCATTAATTCCAAGGATGTACCTACTTCCGAACTGGTTTGATACTAAACTTAGAATGGTGATTATTTCTTGTTAGTTCTGACCTGTTTTATTGAACACGATGTGCATAATTGTGAACATTTATTATTCTGATAATAAGTGTTTTTTCTTGCATACTAGTTATGTCGACGATATAAAACAACAGTAATTAACTTTAAATATTTTAGGTAACAAAAGAAGAATTTATTAATTATTACACTGGCATCAGTGCATCAGTAGACAATGATGCTTATTTTGACTTGATGATACGACAGGCCTATCGAATCTAAACCAAACAAAGTTTGTTTATTTAGTCGATATATATTTACATACATATATGCAGCTTATCTTGGGCAGCTTTTGAGTTTTTTGTGTGCAAATATTAAAATATAACATATATTGTCAACTATATTTAAGATATATTTCTATATGTTGACGGTAATCTTAATTCCGATATATTTGTATTTATATATATAATCTTAATAAAGTGGGCATTGTAAGCAGTCAGATAATACAAGCACTATAGAGCCCATCGTTCCACCGACTACTAGAAGGTAAATATATGTATATATATTTATGCATGTCACAATTCATAAGCAAGCCATTAAGTTTATCAAATGTTTGTACGGTCGACATCGTATTTATCTTTTCGTATAAGAGTACAACAGAACAGTACTTATTAAAAGCTTTAGGCTTTTGCAACAGTTTATTCACTATTACTCTCAATGGAACAGACTTTAAAATAATTATGATATAGGCTAAAATCAGTGGTTTATTTTCAATAATTATTTGCGCAACGTTTGACGAACTACTTAGGTATAGGAAAAATCTAGACAATATAGAGCGTTTCCTAGAAGGATAAAAAGTGGCAAATGCAAACTTTGTTTTGTCAAAATAGACAATATAGCTGTTACTTCAAATCGATGGTACAAAGGTTTAAGAATAAGAGTGATGAATGAAAGAACTAAGTGTTTGATACCTTAAAGGGAGAATAAATTCCCTGTGTATCTTGACAAGATATAGATCATTGTTTTCAGTCATATGGTTCATTTATCTATAGGAGAATAGAGTTCAAATTAACTGTTTTTGTTATTAATATATTTATGAGGTCTGTCCAAAGTCAAGTTAGTTTTCATAACTAGCTAATATCAAACGAAGAAAAATACTGCGTACAGGGCAGATGTTTTATTTTCAACGCTTACATGTTTTCACTCTTTCTTTAGCTGGTGTTATTTATGTGACAAAAACTATCTATAGTATAATTAATGCCATCCTTCTATGTGAATGTGGATTTGTTGTTTGTTTAATTCACACTTGTGTTGCTTAGATTTTGCTTCTTTTAAATAAAAAAAAATCTGTTGTAAATACACTCTTGAATTATCCTTTTTCGTGTTAGCTCTATATATCCTGTTTATTTGATGTTATTTACTGTCAATTTAAGCATATTTCTTCATGCTCACGTATATTTCTTCATAATTCATGGGCCTAACAGAACGTAAAAAAGACACAAATGAAAGGACTCTTAGAGTTCAGCTTGATCAGAGTACAATTCTGCGACTGAGGAAATATTTACTCGATTGTGAAAGTAATGTTCAGCACCCGATATAGTTTAGCAGTGATATCTAAACGACTGGTAATCGGTTCATTCGAAAATCATCTTACCAGGCTAAACTAACTACTTAGTTTGTTGAGGATGGTAGTCCAACTTGATCAACATCAAGATACTGAGTTGTAAAATTATTTTATTCACTTCAATACATAAAGTGATTGTTTATTCTCAATGACTGATAATTTTTGGTATCGCTGATACTACTATTATTTACTATGTTTAGCATTCACTAAATTAATTTTTATCAACCTTTTATAATTTGGTTTAATGTATGAGTGAGTGTGCCATATTCTACATAGCTAGTGTGATTAAGCATTTGAATATACATGTATGTTTGGTGCATAAATTTAGTTTGTAGCAAATATTGTTTTAAGTATCAGAAATGCTAATGCTAAACTAATTTCATGACTCATGGTTGAATTTTCCCACAACTTTATTTTTTTTCATCCCTTTTCTTTCCGTTTTCGTTGAAATTAGATAACTCGTGAAGAATTTCTCAATTATTATTCTGGTGTCAGTGCGTCTGTTGACAATGACGCTTATTTCGATTTAATGATTCGATGCTCTTTTAAACTATAAATATTAATTGTCCATTAGTCAGTATAAAAGAATTGTTCATTACGAAACAAACAATCAACATAGAGAGAATCAATGTTGTCTTGTTTAAATTATTTTCTAGATGTGTGTACAATAAGGCAAACTACAGTTTTTTTTTTTTTTTAAAAAAAAGCATTCAATATAAACTGTCTTTCCTGTTTATTATTACTCTACTATCATCATGGTATGTGACTGATTGCGTTTGCTCTTCCAAAATCTTGTTTTGTTTGATCGTTTTTATTCTAACACTTTCATTTGCAAAACACACCTCTTCAGATGGGTTTTGTTTTTCTACTGTATTTTTACTTTGGAAATATTTCAATTATTCTTTTGACTGCAAGAGTTTTGTACAACTCACTGAATCCTCATTACTGATAGTTTGTGTTTCTTTGTGGTTTATTGGGTTTTCCTTTCTAATGAAATTTATATATTTATATATTTGTATTTATATATATATATATGTGTGTGTCTACCTCATGGCTGTGATAAAACTTGTTTCTTTTGTTTAAAAAACAAATACAACTCATTTAAAGAAATGCACAAACTTTTGAAAAATACAGTTCATTTTTCTTACTGGGATTATCAGCTGTCGCAAGTTAGACAACAAATGAAAACCAGAAAGCGCCAGAGAGTTGTTTTTTCCTAATATAGGACTTCTTAGAAGTGCATATCCATAACCACACTGAGGATCGAACCCACAATGCTCAAACTTTAAACCATTGAGTCGGGATTCAATGATTGCGAGTTACAATATCAACTGATCCGCGATATTGCGTAACTATCGTCCTTTGTTTACATTGGTAGGTTAGACGTGTAAATCATTGTATGCCTGATCAGTGAGTGGTCTAACAGTCAGGGGTAGGACAAAAGATCTATGCTTAATACTGTATGTGTTCATGGATGTGCATTTCTGTGGTGTTTTTCACACAAGTACTAAGTAGATTTTATTATGTTCTTTCTTGCTTTCAATAGTTGTCATGATTAGGTCGTTTCAGGATCTCACTGACACTAGACAATAACCACATACCCCTATACTGATGCTTGTTTTTTAATGTTTCAAAGTTAAGTGTTTTTATACTTGTCACTGTTTACCGGTCATCGAAGAGAAAAGCATTTTGACTGGCAGTTGTTACTCGAGAGACTTGAACAGTAATATAATTCAACCTGATGTAGATGAACATCTAAAGGTTCATAAATATGCTTTGTTCAGATCTATTTATGGTTGAGAGGTGTATTAAATCGACTTTAGATTAGCTCTAACTAATCCGAATTTGTAAATCTAAAGAACTACTAAACAATAAGCAAGTTCGTTGACTATGAGGATTGCTTTGTTCGAAAGCAAATGCTTTCAATCAATTCAGTGGATTTCTTTTTTAATTTTATGGATATATTGAACATTAATTAGTTCCACATTACCTTAACTACACATTATCGATAATATTGAATTTATTTTTTGGCCTATTGAACCAAACTAGAAAAATGTCTTCTTTTGAGTATATGGGCTTCGCACATTACTACTGCTTACTGAATGAATGAGCTATAGGGGTGTTTCAAGAACATGAATTTTGTTATTTGCTGGAGTGAATTTTTCGAACTGAATATCGACGATGAATTGAATTGCTATTCATATAGAGTATTTGCATTGGAATGCACATGTGACCAGTGTTATTTTCATTATCAGACTTACTGAGGATGTTAAATCCTTAAAACTAGCCTGGTAAACAACCTCTTAAATTTACAATTTATTTTTGGAAGTTGGAATTTCTTATTTTAAAGCCAGAAGTGCACTGTATTACACTGTTACGCCTGCACGTAAATACGTCAACTTGATATACTTAAACTATTACGAGTTTACCTAGTCGGAAAACGAGAGCGAGGATCCGGCGACACGACATGCTACTCAAATCCGATTATCCCGACCCCCATATTGAGTAAAAATAAGAGGACTTGATATGAAGTAGAACGTGTAATCTACAAGCATCCAGAAAGTACGAGGTCCGAGTGCAGAAGAGAATCAAGATCCCGGACTAAGGATCCGGGATCGTGTCCTGGTCCTGGTCATAAAACGTTACGGATAATGCGTATTTATACATTTTGGTCGACTAGGAAACAGCATCGAAGTCTGTGACATTGACAGTTAAGACGACCAATAGGAAGCGACATTTGAAGTGACACTGACAGTCAGGACAACCAATAAGAAACAACACTGGAGCACAGGACAGTGATATCTAGGACGACCATAAAATTGACCAGTAGGAATTAACCGATAGGAATAGACCAATAATTCTTTTAGGATATTGGATGAATATCCTAACATACACACAGTTCGTGTTCCCCACTCGCAAGGACCTTAAACCTCATTGATATTAGATTTCTCTCTCAGTGCGCTATATTGTAACTCTTCCAACGACACTTTTGTACTGTATTTAATACATCTGAATTGAATGCCTTTTAATTCGTTCACTCACGATTGCTTGTCGGTTTATAGAAGCTTCCTGCTGACTAGTTAACCGGACTACAGTGAATTGATTATCTGTCCTGTTATTGTTTCACCAGTCTACATTCCATTCTCTCATATCAAATCGTATATTAATTAGCGCAAGCTTACTTACTTTACTTAGTTGTGCGTAGGCCGCCGACCAGTGTTTTCCAACTGAGTAATTTAAATCTAGTTTGATGATGATATGTATGCAACCAGTTTTAATGCAGCTTGTTTGAAAATCTTATTACAAGTTGGTACTTAAAAACAAATAAATACTCACTTTATGTCCAACAGTTTCGATCATTTCGGATATATTATCATGAATATGTTAAAACATTTACATCAATAATTTTCATAACAAGTGAATATTAGTACCGTAAAATGTTTGTTTCTAGTCTGTGTTTGTATCTTTATGGTACAAGCGTCATTTTTCTTGATTTATGCTGGTATGATGATCGATTTTTCGTATCTTAAATGATTTAGGAGATATGATGTAATCATTTTGCTCTAGATAAACGTAAAATGTTTAAATTGATTCACGAAGGAATGTTAGGCCCTGTTATGGTAGGGCTATTATTTCCTTATATCCTTTTCGTTAGAATTATACATATGTATATATCTTAGTAGATGTTTTCTTGATATGACTAGTTATAGGTAAGTTTTGGTTAATGTTTTAAATCTTGTTTAGCCACCATTCGAATTTTCTTTGAATAACTTGACAAAGTATTTATTAGTTAATAAAAGAATGTTCTGAGTGATTTACATAATATGAATATCGAATTTCTTCTGGATGAATGAAAAGCATGACTTTTATCGTCATTCTATCAGGAAGTACTTATTCCTTAGATCACAAATTTTCGTGTCAAATTTTAAAAATTAATGTCGTACAAGTTTTCACCCAAGTACCCCTCCTTCCTGGGAGGGCAGATGGTTGCCACTCCTATGAACATATTCACTATCACAGACAGTCTTTCATGCGTTATATGCACAGTACCGGTACTCAAGCTTTCGTTTAAGAACTATCTGACATTTATATAGACACAAACACTCCATTTACCACTCATCGTTTTTTATTCACAGACCTGTAATTTTTTGTTGTGAAGGGTTTTTAGTCTCGCTTTTTTTTGTTGGGGCAGACCATTCACTTAAATTTCCTTTTGATATAAGCCCATGATTGTACCCTTTGCATATACCTACGTAAATAAATTACAAAGACCGAGACCCTTGCAGTTCATATACGACAGCTTACACATCAAGCTGTATTTGAGCCTCGAAAGACCCTGTGGATGATAAATCTGATCTCTGTTAGTGACTCACGATCAATTCCATTTAGGTTTTTTTTATTTTAATGAGGCTTATGATTATTTAAGAGGAAATCGATATTAGTAATGATTTTTCAGGTGGCCTGAAGTATCTGTTAGGAAAATATGGTAATCAATATTTATGCTGAGCGTTTGAAATTAAGTATATAGATAACTCTGAGAATAAATTACAGCTCACAGAGCGAATACGAAAAATCACTAAATTCTACAGTCATTGACCAGGACAATGTAATTTAACATAGATTACTACGAGTTGGAGTACTACATAAAACCAAGGAACATTGAAAAACGTTTCTTTTGTATTGTAAGGTTCATCAGCAATACACACCTGTGTCTTTAGCGAAGATCAAGCAAAAAATCTCATGAAGAAGGCATTACACTGTTTGAAGGTCCTGAATTCCATCGCCCGTAGGATCATGGAGTATCTATTATCTGAAAGTCAATAGTATTTGTTTGTTAGCAGAAATTATTCTGATAATATTTATAAATAGTGAAATCAACATTTGTAATAGGAAAATCAGTGGATGGGTTACTTTGCTTGCACTAATTAATATACGATTTGATATGAGAGAATGGAATGTGGACTAGTAACACAATAACAGGACAGATAATCAATTCACTGTAGTCCGGCTAACTAGTCAGTAGGAAGCTTCTATAAACCGACAAGCAATCGTGAGTGAACGAATTAAAAGGCATTCAATTCAGATGTACAAAAGTGTCCTTGGAAGAGTTACAATATAGCGCACTGAGAGAGAAATCTAATATCAATGAAGTTTAAGGTCCTTGCGAGTGGGGAACACGAACTGTGTGTTATATAAAGTGCACTTCTAGCTTGAAAATAATAAATTCCAACTTCCAAAAATAAATTTTAATCTTAAGAGGTTTACCAGGCTAGTTTTGAGGATCTAGCATACTTAGCAAAGGCAATTTTTATTTCATTACAATTTCTTAGAAGTACAAATTATAAAGTTTATTTTAAGATCAGTTTGTTCACTAACAAACCCCGTGATGAAAATAGTTAGGTGTCATATTTAAAACACAGTTTCTAATTGGTAATACCACATCATCAATCGAAACCAACTCGTGATAGATTCATAAGTGATATTTATTTATCAACCATTGAAAATATCTCTCATTGTTGATATTCATCATCAGATGGAATAGAATGATTTTAAATTGAAATTTGAATAGACATGATTTTGGTTGGAGTAAGTAAAAATTAATGATGCATTCAGCGCACAAGTAGTTGAGGCATATAACAATTTTTTTTTCAGCACTAGAATCTTTCGAAACGTTTTTTTTTTAGTAAATAAGGCATTTTTATAACGATGATAGGTTAGAATGGATTTTTTTTTCTATCTTCTCATATTGATCATTATTATTTAGCTTGATTTATTCCAACTTTTGGATAAACTAACTAATCTATAATTTTAGGCGACCATGTATCTATAACACTTATCTTGTTAACTATTTCACTGTAGTCCTGATCATTTCCATAGGTATATATATATATATATATATATATATATATATATATATATATATATATATATATATGTCTATTCATCAATGAATCTAATCGATACTTGTTTTTAGTTGGCTTTTATCTATCTATATGAATATAAATGCTTAATTATACCTGTTGAAATTGGGTTTTTCTGAGAGCTCATATAACTCTTACGGTCTGCATGCAGTTACGATTATATGAGATCTAAACACTTAAAGTTGATCGTATAAATACGACAA